GAGCTGGCGGCACCAGATCGTTCCGTCTCTGGAGCTGTTTTCAATCAGATTAGTGTGGACGAACACTGCATCCACAACAAAAATGACTCGAATACGCACTAGTGTGAATGGGGCCTTAGGACAATAAACTAGTTTAGTCTTCTTTGCTACTACTGACAGCAGGGATGGACAGATATGGATTATCTGTCCATCTGATTATTATTATTGACTGATACCAATATTTGGCCTTCCGATGTGGCCAACCAATATTTAACTGATGTTTACCGATGCCAATATTTAGCTTTTAAAGTCCATAGGGACTCCCACAAATTGATCTTACATTAAAGTATCCATCCATCCATTTTCTTCCGGGTCGTGGGTGTAGTAGTCTAAGCAGGGACTCCTGGACTTCCTTCACCCTGGACACCCTGGACACCCTGGACACCCTGGACACCCTGGACACCCTGGACACCGCTCCTTCGGGTGGACCCCAAGGCGTTCCCAGGCCAACCGAGAGACATAGACTCTCCAGTGTGTCCTGGGTCTTGCCGTTAAAGTAAAGATCTCAAATTAACTTTGTAACTTTTTGTAAAAATAATAACAAAATGTTTTACTGGGATATGAAATTATTTGTTTCATTGTGTCACATAACATTTTATTGTGCCATAACTCTCTTGTAGTCCCATTTTGTCTCATTAGTCTGTTGGAAAATGGCACACAGAAAGATATATAAAAAGCCAACATAAGCTACATATTCACTTTCAAATTGGCAGATATTTTTCTTACAAATACCACTTGGGGAAGGGCAATATGGCCAAAACAACTTTTTTTTTCCTCCTCTTTTGGATCAATCATGATTTTAGTTTCAATTGTGTTATTATTTTAATTAAAAGCTAACAAATATGACTGTTAATCTGAACTTCTTGAACAAAATAAGAGCCAGTTGACACAAAAAGTCACATTTCTCTGCTCCAAACCTCATGTTTTACTGACAAAGGGTTGGCTGTAGACCTCTTGATTAAAACTACCAAAGCTGATCATTGACCTTCTGGAACAATTGGATTTTGATTGGATTCAGATTTGCGTAATTGGACAACATCGTGTGGTTGCAACACGGTGTTCCTATTACACATACTGTAGACACATGAACGTGGACCATCTGCCTAAAGAATATGCTTAAAGCTTTATTTGAACACTTTAGTCCAAAGAAGGTGCTGCAAAAAGGCACTGCTTTGTTATTCATTTTGTAATAAAACAAGATCAAGGGTGAGTTTGTACCAAAGCTGCACGATTTTAGAAAAATAATTGAGATTTTTGTGTCTAACAGTGAGATTACGAGTTGAGATTTGTGATTAGATAGCAGCATTCTCTTCAAAGTTTAATGACAGGAGCATTTAACATTTGAGAAACCTAAGAATGAAATCTGAACTGATAAACTACAAGAATTATCAGCATTTCAGTACAGCATTTGCGCTGGTCTGAACTAGAGTTAGCAACTTTTTATAAGGTAAGAGGATATTTATTTACTTGCAGAAGAAATTACAGTACTTAAATATTTATGACCAAAGTCATCAAAGTGTGATTATTTTTACAGCCCTAGTAGTAGTTGTTGTACTTAATTCTTGTTTATTTGGGGTAAAATTACCAAAATCAGCCCAAAATATCAGCCCCAAAATATCGACAGAGCTTCTTGACCATCGTAGTTTTTGTTTTGTTTTTTAATCGGTGTCTTAGACTTAGACAAACTTTATTGATCCACAAGGGAAATTATTTGGACACAGTAGCTCACACATCACAATATAATATAATAACAAAAAGGAAAAAATGGGAATGGTAATGATAAACTCTAAATAAGTAGCAAAAAAGACAAATAAGACATTATTATGAAAATGTATGAGTCAAAATAAAATGGATGAATAGGTAATACAATATAAAATCTTACCTATATAAAAGAGGTCATGATCAGCATGTCAGCATCGGCCATGAGAAAATATAAATCAGTCAAGCTCCAGTTCCAACGTTAGTTTAAAGCCGACCTACTCTGTATAATACATTTTTCAGAGCTTTGAAACATTTTGTAGTTGTTTCCTTCATCATTTACTCACCCAAAGTTGTATTTGGAGTGATCTGAGTCATTTTTAATTGCTTATTTTCAGCACGGCATGTTGTTGATTAACTCCTGTTTTCCCCTCCACCAGTACATGCCCACTGTGGCGTTCGCACTTCATTCTCCAATTGCATTTTGTTAATTGTTTTGTTATGGCAACGTCAGCTCCCATTGGGCACCACAGTTTTCTAACGAGGAGGTCAGGGAGCTTGTTTTAGAACATTGCAATTTAAAACATTTAAATTAAAACATAATGATCCACAGGTATCATAGATTACCGTATTTCCCGGGCTATAGGGCGCACTCTTAAGCCTCTAACCCCATCAAAAAAATGACCCCTCAAGCCCCGCAATCCAGAGCACCCAATACACGAATCCACTCGGGTGTCCCAGCACGACTTCAGTAAACTACAAAGCCGCACCACCCACAGAAAACACAAACACACACGGAGCAGACAGCGACCGCACGGCAAAACACACCCACAGACACACTCATCACTCCACGCCGATGAGGAACGGAACGGAGGAACGAACCGAAAAAGCTAGCGCAATGTGCCACTTCTAGACAGAAATGAACAACTGAGTCACTGTGAACACGCCGACAATCCGTTGGTCCCAGACAGCACCCTCCCTACACGCCACAACTGAACACAGCCCAGAGTCACCGTGAACGCCACAAACAAACAAAACCACTCACCCATCACACTGTTGGGTTTCCTTTAAAGTCCCGTGCGGTTTATTTGTGAAAAAAGTTAGAAAATAGACCATTTAATGACAGTGCGTCTTATAATCCAGAGCGACTAATAGCCCGGAAAATACGGTATAACTATATAGCAAACACAAGCACAATATGCGTCTTTAAATGGTCTTGTTATACTAGAATTTTTCTTAACCTCAGCACTCTGCAAACACAATTACCAACTTGTAGGACAGGAACGAGCTGTCAGAGGCCTCATCACAGGGAGAGTGGGTGTGGCCTCCCGCGGTGCTCTTAAACAGTACTATTTCCCCTCATCTTTTGTCACCACACAAAAATATCACATTTCTGCCCCAATTAGCACATCACTACGTCCTCTGGAGTCTTGCATTGTTTACCGCTCGTTCATTCACACTCCATTCTCTCTCTCGCTTCCGTTCTATCCCTTTTGTCTTGTCACTAAATTGTCAGCTTTGTATGTAGGTCAGCACAGATGTGTGTTGTTTTGCTTTACATTAGTAACGCGCAAGTGAACCAGGTCAATGTAATGAAAATGCGTCTTTATATGCTGTGGTTATGGTAAAGCTGAAAGGGTGATACTCTTGGCCAAGTCTGAAAGGATGCTTGAGGTGAGGTCTATGTGAGAAAAGTGGTTTTGATTATGTGCTCTGTTGTCTACGGTAGATAATGCAAATTTATGTTGATAACTTGCTTCTTTCGTCGTCAAGTTGATTAATCGGCCAATGGTGTCTTAGTCGACCAGAGATTGAAAACCCTAACCCTAACCATAGATTTGGGGGATTTATATGAGGCAACATCAAAGTATGTGGTGAACAGGCTGAAAATTTTGATCTGAATCAAGAGTTTAATCAGTGTTTTTTCAAATAAATACATAAGGATGTAACAATAACCAAAATATTGTGATATCGTATCGTCAAAGTTCTCACAATAACATCGTGGACCATCACAAAGTATCAAATTACAAGTCTCTTTGCTTAAATGAAGAGTCATGGTGCAGCAAGAGCTCAAAAAACAGAGGGAACTACATAGACCATGATCCTTTGCTCCATTTCAGTGCAGACGAGAAGAAGAAATAACAGTTCTAAGCACGTTTAAGTATTAATTCTTTGGTCTTGTCAGTTTTGTTAGGCTCCACAAAATATCACAATAAATATCGTACCGCGAGATGTATATCTTGAAAACCGAGAGATTTGGATATTGTTACATTCCTAATCGTGAGCCTCCCCTCCATATCGTGAGCTTTCCCGTGATATCACAATAAATATCGTACCATGAGGTTCATACCATGAAAATATCATATCGTGAGACTTGGATAAATACAGTTTCAGCACTTTTTCTGCATAAATTATTGCATTTGCATGAATCTCTCTGCAGTTGTGTAAGGTACATTGTTAGATCAGTTTAATAGTTTTGAGAGTTTTTGCTACAACACTGTTTTTAGTTAACTAATCAATTGGCTGGACATGTCTCATTGTTTTTCTTCTCATTCTTTAACAGTGTCTGGTTTTAAACTAGTTTTGTAATATTTAGAGACAGGAAACTCTTTAGAAATGTTTAGAAACTTACCCACTGAACCAGTTTTTTTACGTATGTCATTTCATTATTGTGGAGCAGATGGAAAACTGAGAAACTGGTCACACCAAAACAAACCATTGCATAAGCATATTTGTCATGTCACTTTTAGTTTGCTCAGTGAGTTTAAGTTTACAGCTATATAACTTAGGGCTAGGTGATATAACATTGTGCATTGATCTGTAACTTTTTTTTAAAATTTGATTTTGTTTTATTAATAACAAATAGCTCTTGAATATTCATTTTCTAGGGTTTTCTAGGTTTCATTTTCTATGGATTTATTTATTTTATCAGCAGCACAGCAGTCGCAATACAAGATACATTTTCCATACATAAAAATATGTCCTATTATATTTGTATTTATGCTGGCTTGGCAGTCAGTTGTAATTTTTCAAGTTGTTTTTTGTTTGTTTGTCCAGTGTAAATTTCTAGCTTTGATTAGTTATATTTCAAGGTAGTATCTTAAAGTTTGAATAGTAACGTCAACTTCAACCACCAGAGTCATGGAAAACTTTGAATACCCAAATACAATAAAGATATCATAGTTATCTAGTCTCATATGGGCAACCACTTTATATCTAAGTATTAACTCCACTAATTGTTCTGTTTTTATGTTTGTTTCCAGTTAAAGCCGAGAAAGAGGAAAAGAAGGATGAGATTAAGAAAGATGAGAAAACAGAGGAAAAACTAGAGGACATCTTGAAGATGCCAGAAGCTCCAAGTCCAATCGAGAAAGCTGAGCAAAAGGGTGTAACAGTAGAATTCACAAGCAACGAACCTCCTGCCAAGATGGAAGCAGAACTACCAAAAGCTGAACCATTTGAGACCAAGAAAGAAGAAGCCAAGGAGGTAGAACAAGTCAAGGTTGAGGAGACACCTAAAGTTGAACCAATGCAGGTTGAAGAAAAACCTGAGAAGATGGTGAAGGTAGTGGAACCATCTGAGAACAAAGCTGATCAAGAAGAATTTGAGCATTCACCAATCAAAATGGAGGAGAAAGTGGAGAAGATGGACTTCAACGAAAAGCCTCAAGAACCAATTGAAGAAAAAATTCAGAACAAAACGCCAGAAAAGCTGGCGCAACCCGAAATGAAGGAAGAACTAAAGACTCCGGAACCACAAGTCATGTCCGTCAAGGAACCTAGTGTAGAACCAGCTGAGAAGAAGATAGAACCAGAACCCATTGAAGAGAAGGTAGAACCAAAACCAATTGAGAAGAAGCAAGAGCTAGAACCAACCGAAACAAAGGTAGAACAAAAAGAATTTGAGAAGAAAGTAGAACCAGAACCTATTGAGAAGGAAGCAGAACCAAAACCAACAGAGAAGAAGGCAGAGCCAGAACCAACCGAAACTAAGGTAGAACAAAAAACAGTTGAGAAGGTAGAACCAGAACCAGTTGAGAAGAAGGAGGAACCAGAGACCAAGGTGGAGCAAGCCAAGACAGAAGAGGTAAAGAAGGTTGAAAAGGAGCCTGAGAAGGAGCCTGAGAAGGTTCAAGAGGACACACAAAACAAAGCAGCGCCTGAGAAGAAGACCGTGGACAAGAAGGATGACAAGAAGGCTAAAGCAGATGCAGGCGATAAGGCGAAAAAAGCGAAGCCTGTCACTAACGGAAGCAGCGCGGTGCCAAGCAAAGAGAAGGCCAAGGTAAGAGAGAGCTGGATTTGAACTAAAGTGAAAGTTGCACATGTAAGTAAGGTTCTATGAATCTTGGATGATGTTCTGAAAGGAATGAATGTTCCCTGTACATGTGCTTAATATTGGTGATCGACCACCGTACACAGCAAAAACTGGAGGGTTAAAATTTCAGGATGAAATATTTCATAGTTATTTTTAACATTAAAAGTGTAATTTTAACTATTTGAAAGTTAAATGGGGGTTGAGTTGGAGTTGTTTGCCAGAGTTGATATGTTTGAAGTTAATTCAACTTCCCTTAGTGTTAATTTGGCTCCTCCCACCCACCACTTCAAACTCCCACGAGAGAAGACCAGTTTGAACCAGTTTTGTACATAATTTCATCTTAAATTAACTAAAATAAAGTGTAAAAATAAAATATATCTGTGTGTTGTTTAGCTAAAAATCAGGATAATCCTACAAAGTGTTGTCTGTTTACTCTCAAAACGTGAATGGATAACACTTCCGTTCCTGGTCCAGATTCAAAATTTCTAGAAATTCACCTGGAACTTTGGTCCAGTGTTACTTAATTAACATTTCCAACTTGTTAAATTAACTCCAAAACAGATTGGACTCACATAAACCCTGAGAAAATTTTAAAATAGCTTCTGTGAGAGTCAATTTTAACACTCCACTTGTTGCTGTGTAGAAAGCCCAACATCAGATATCAGCATCGACTCAAAAAATCTTTTTGGACCGTCCCTAAATAAAACTGACATAATGCAGTGTTTATAGAGTGTTTATAGTCCTACATATCACTCTTTTTGCTAAAGCTTCATTTCTGCTTTTTCTGCTTTAAATTGATAAAACTAGAATGCTAAACTAGAGCGTGACATTTTCAAAGATTTTTAATTTTGTCTGCATACAGTTTTAAGCTGCTGTTTATTTTAGCTCATTACTATCATTTGCATAATTCTAATTCCATTGCTGCTAACCCTTGAGACCATGGCATTTGAGTTAATTTGCATTATTCTTTTATGTTGCTTTTTTATTTCCCGGCGGTCCCTCATCCCAGCCCGCTTCTGCCGCTCCAGCCAAACCCGGTATCACAACCAAAACTCGGCCCACCTCCGCCACAGCGCCCCCTACTGGTACAGCCGCAACCAAGAAGCCCACACCCTCCTCCACCACAGACAAAAAGACCCTCACAGCCAGGGCCCCCACAGCAGCTAAGACCACTGCCACCACAGCCAGGCCCACTGCCACCACAGCTAAAGTCCCTAGCACCACCAGGCCCCTCAGTACAACCACAGCCGGGCCCAAGAGACCCCCCAGCACCTCCAGCAGCCGCCCCACATCCACCACGACTGCTGCCAGGGACGTCAAGCCCAAGGTGAGTAAGAAACCAGGCAGACGTGATTGGATATAATGCATTGTTTTAATAAGGCATCTTTTTGTACACTCAAGTTGTCTCAGAGTTTCATGCATTATCCATGCCCCTCCTCATACTGATCTGTTTCTATAGTAGGTAGACTGTCACAACAAATTTTGCCAGTCTGCGGCATTGGCCCCCCCAACCATTTCCAATTACTCACACCAAAACAAAGAAAACAGTAGGGTTAAGAATCTTTAGGGCATAAATGCAAAATATGACTCTAGTGACAGTTCACACCTTCGGCTACTTCAGTGGATTTAACTAAGAACATGCTCTTCTGTAAGCAAATACAGTGTGACTTTCAGTGAAGTTAACTTCTTCCTTCAGACAGATATAACACAGTTATCTTATTTTCCGGGCTATTAGATGCGCTGTTAAGCCTTCAACCCCATCAAAAAACGACTGCACACCCCACAATCCAGAGCGCCCTATACATGAATCCACTCAGGTGTCCCAGCACGACTTCAGTAAACTACAAAGCCGCACCACCCGCAGAACACACAAACACACACGTAGCAGACAGCGACCGCACGGCGAAAAACACCCACAGACACACTCATCACTCCACGCCGACAAGGAACGGAACGGAGGAACGAACCGAAAAAGTGAGTGCAATGTGCCACTTCTAGACACGACTGAACAACTGAGTCACTGTGAACACGCCGACAATCCGTTGAGTCCAGACACACCATCAGTACCTACAACCACGCATCATACAAACTGAACAAACCCTAGAAGTCACCAAAGTGCAACCAGCCAATCTTTCGCAATCCGTAACAGTTTCAGTCTAGTTAAGTAGATCATTTTAAATAGAGCAGGGGTCTCCAACCTTTTTCCTGCGGTGAGCTCCTTTACAAAACAAAAATGCAGGAAAGCTACTCGTTTTAGCAGCCGCAAAAAATTTTGATGATTATAAGAACGAGGGCGAGCTCTTGGGTACAGTTAGGTGCCTGTGAAACATAAATTATTATTATTATTATATTTTTATTTATTTCATTTTTTACAATGAAGATTGGATATTACAGTGGGGGAGGGTAGTGGGAAGGGGGGTTTGGGGAATAAAAAAATGGTCACATTATATGACATCTGCATTAAGTGCACAAAAAATGTTATTCATCAGCACAATGGTATAATTTCGAAATCCTTTGGCGAACTGCTTGGAAAGAGGTGGCGAGCTACTGGTAGCTCCCGAGCTACAGGTTGGAGACCCCTGCAATAGAGTAATAATGGTCCCACATCCTCGCGTGCTGTCACTGTACCTTTTGGCAAGACATTTCAGCCACATCTATTTATATTTGTCACTTAAGACACTTAAGATTTTTTACTAAATTGGTGATCAAGATTATGTATCTCCACCAATGTTATACACAAGGTCAGTTTAGTTCTACCTGTCAGTAAAATCGTTACAGATATATATCTTATGCTCTCTATGCATGACTCCTTTAAGAACACACAACAGTGCCCATGGGTGCTGGGTGAGTCAGTCTGTTCTGTCAAGGCTCAGCTGCATCGTCAGTAGCACCGAGGGGCCACTTCACAATCGCTCCAGGTCTGATGTTAGAATCAGCGTACATTCTGTGACCTGGATTCTACGGTCAAGTCACACAGATCTGGGTAAATGTGATAAACAGCGAGCAGACAGGAACAGGGCGGCATTTGACCCACTTTTCTCTCCATATGTGCTATACATGCTTTGATGATCATGGTAGGTCATTAGTGACATTTTGGGTGAATTGGAGCTGTATTTCAAAAAACAGCTTGTATATGGACACTCACTTAAGAACCTCACATGACAGAACCATCCAAGCTAAGGCTTGTGTCAAGTGTCTTGCTCAATAGCATCAACAACAGGATGCCACATGCCAGTTGCAGGAATCTTACAGTCAGCCTTTAAAGAGCCTGTAACTCTTTTCCGTGTAGCAAAACACTCTTGACCGCTGTGTGCTGTCTATTCTGTATTTTATTATAACGCATTTTAACCTCCAAGAATCAGAAAGTGTGTTGTTAGCATAATACCGTATTTTCCGAGCTATTAGGCGCTCTGGATTATAAGACGCACTGTCATTAAATGGTCTATTTTCAAACTTTTTTCACAAATAAACCGCACCGGACTTTAAAGGAAACCCAACAGTGTGATGGGTTTTGTCTGTTTGGTGCGTTCACGGTGACTCTGGGCTTTGTTCAGTTGTGGCGTGTAGGGAGGGTGCTGTCTGGGACCAACGGATTGTCGGCGTGTTTGCAGTGACTCAGTTGTTCAGTCGTGTCTAGAAGCGGCACATTGCACTCGCTTTTTTGGTTCATTCCTCCGTTCCGTTCCTCATCGGTGTGGAGTGATGAGTGTGTCTGTGGGTGTGTTTGGCTGTGTGGTCGCTGTCTGCTCCGTGTGTGTTTGTGTGTTCTGCAGGTGCTGCAGCTTTGTAGTTTACTGAAGTCGTGCTGGGACACCCTGAGTGGATTCATGTATAGGGCGCTCTGGTTTGCGGGGCGTGCGGTCGTTTTTTGATGGGGTTGGAGGCTTAAGAGCCTGCCTAATAGCCCGGAAAATACGTTAATTGTTGTTAGCATTACTGTCACCAAACTTCTGTTCTGGCTTCTGAAAGGTGAATATTGGAATGCTAGGACGGTGTTAGGAAACTGCTAGCTGTTCAAAATGAACCAACCCTTTGAGTTATGGTTGAAGATTACAACACCTTGGCCACTAGACAATCTTATAGCAAAATTGCTCCTAAGCTTGGAATCAAAATCTCAAATATGACAAAATAAAATAAAAGATCACTAGAAAAGAAAATGAGATAAACTCTTCATTGAAAACATTGCCATTCTTTGCTTTGTGGAGCATAACTTAGAGTCTTTATATATGTGTGTGTATGTGTGTTGTGTGTGCAGACTGTCCCAGAGAAGCGCGCCCCTGTGCCAAAGGCCTCCTCTGATTCAGCCTCTGCAGCCAAAAACGGAGCAGCTCCTGCCCCGAGGAGCACCACCACGACCCGCACTACCACCACTGCACGCCCTGCAGCCTCTACTGCTGCCAGGAAGCCTCTGGGTATGAGACAGTTTTACACTCAGCACAAAGACGAGCTTTTATCGTAGGAAAGAGGCTGTGTGCAGCTGTGTGCAGGTACAGATGGTATAATATGCACAAAAGATAACACAAAAGTGAAAGAGAAGTCCAGAACAAGGCACAGCTCTTGACATGAAACATAATGGACTCATGAGAGAGAAATGCTTTATTGATCTTGAGGGAAATTCAAGTTTTGCTGCAGCAACATTTCCACTGCTTTTCTCAGTGACTTTTGTGTCTCAGTCAAAGTTCTCAGTGAAGTTTAACAGTTGGACTGGTCTGGGAGGGTCAACAGATCTGTGTCAGGGCAGTTTGAGGAGAGGAAGAGCCAAAAGTGTCCCTCCTCTGTGTCCTGCAGCATCACAGCAGTGTCCAGGGGCAACCAGGTGAACACAGGAAAGGCTTTTTCTTACTCCAATCTGTTTTGGTTGATGATGAAATAGTCCAGTCCTCTGAAAGATCTCCCACACACCTTTGCTGCCACATATGATGTAAAGAGCCTGTAGCATCTCAAATGTCCACAGCTAGCTCCTTTTTTCACGGTCTCCATGGATACAGGAAAATGAAATTGCTCATTTCACAAAATCCAACAGTCTTTTATTGTGTCCTTTAAACTGTGAAATGTGGAGTGTGAGACTTCTTGCAATTAAGGATGTTAATCAGTAATTGTGATTATCCAGGTCACAATACAACCATAACAATGACAAACGAAACATGGCCGTTTTACAAGAAAATAAAAGTCATTTCAAGTGGTTTGGTGATAAAAATCTAATTGTGATCCCATCTCTATGACAATCTGCTATTTTGGTGATATGATCATGTCACTGTTGACTGTTGTCTATTTCATGCAGCTGTCTGCTCAAACAAACACTTCCTCCTCCTGTTGATTAGCCTCCGTAAAGCTCTGAGTGACTGACAGCTGGATTTATCTCAATCTAACTCCAAACAGTCTGTTTTCTGCTGTGTAGCCTATAGTCTTATAAATATTGATTTTGTTTTGGTCCCACAGCCTCAAAGACAGAAAGCAAACCTGGGGAGGAGAAGAAGGCCGGCACACTGAGGACATCCACAGGTACAGCCTAAAGACTTCAATACATACTCAAATGTAGTAACTGGGTCCATTCTTCCAACTCAATTATTTAGTGTTCATAAAGCGTAAACGTGTACTCAAGTGTTACTCATAAATTAGTTGCGTAACAGCGTATGACCCAGTTCTGTTTGCTCTCAGGTCAGTGACTATTTGTTCTACATTCTTAAAATAGAAAATCACATATTTACATTGGACTGCAGATGACATGTGTATTAAGAAATTAGGTCGAGTTGTATGTTTATTTATGTTCTGGGATGTTGGTCTTCTATAGATCCTAAGCTGCAGCCCAAGTGTTCTTCTACTTGTATATATTCACTATCATACCTCTGACCAAACTGTCTCATTCTGGACTCTTCTGCTTTATATTTTATTATTTTAAAATCTAAATTCTTAGCTCTACTTCCTTCAGCTATGGCTCCTGCTTTACTTAACTTTTAGTTGTCAATTTGGTGACAATTTTCCAATTTGAGTCAAACGCATGATTCAGCACTGCTCCTTCCTTGGACAGTTTGATAGACACAGAGCAGCTTAAGAGTATCCAGTTATCTATAGCTATCATAATTTGTCTCGCTCAAATTGTTACCATTTTTTTTTCTCTTCTAAAACATCAACTCTGAAGACAAAAAATACAGGAAACAATAAATTAGTTTATCCATCAGGGCATTGGTTTGTACTAGTACTAGCAGAGCAGTGTACAGTAAGTTCATGGGCTCTGACAATGTGTCTTCCACCACAAAATAATAGAAAAATATTTTAGACCTCTACAGGTATGTTCTGAAATGCATGGGATTCTTGTGTTAGTTTAACACTTCAGATTTCAGTCTTTTCTCAAATGTGATGCTGATGGACATGTTTAAAAAGTCGAGCAAAGTGAATGCTGAATCTTAAATCACTCATAAATATAATCATAAGTAGATTTTGGTTGGATAATACTAGTGTTACAACTCGAAAATTGCACCAGTTAAATGTCAGTTTATGAAGAGAAATTATGTAATCCTGGGGAATTACCAATTGTGATGTTAAAAAGAATTTCCAAAGAATAGTGGAAGAATAATGCAACACTGCAAAACTTTCTGGAAGTTGCACATCACCTGCATAATTCAAAATAGAAAGTTAAACCCATACTTCAGACCATTCTCCACAGAGATAGATGCATTTTATCCTGTCATGTGGAATATTATTTTGTTTTTGCTGACTTTTATGTGAAGCACTTTGGTCAGCTGAAGTTGTTTTAAATGTGCTGTCTTGAATTGAATTATTGCCAAAAAAACAACCTGTCCATTTCCTTACACACAGTGAGGATGCATGTTTTTCAATCCCATAAAAATATCCAAAATGAAAAAGCTTGTTTTGGCTAAAGCGTTGCATAACTGTGGCGACTGTGTTGTTGTGAAATGGGCAGTCTAACCTGTCATAAGCACTTTTACCACCACGGTGTGTAGGCATCAGTGTCCAGCCCTGCTTGTTATTGTATCGTGCCTCGTAGCTTTCTTCTTCTTGTTCTGCTGTGACTTCATAAAACCCCGAGAGCCCCGTCAGCACCCACATCCCTCTGTCCCTCGGTGACAATGCGGCTTGTGTGGCTCCACGGGTTTCAGAAGTAAAAAATCCCATGCCGTTAAAGCTCTTGAACGCAGCGCCGTGTGGATTAACATCACCGCGTGCTGACAGGCGCTCTGCTGACAGGCGCTATGGTGACAGGCGCTCCTGCTGACACGACTTGGATCTACCACAGCACACACACGCACACGCACACGCCCAATAGCTCCTCTCAAACAGAAACACAAAACAGGATTCAGGCAATTAAAGGGTTTCAACAGGCGCAGCTCTGGGTGTAAGCAGGACTCAGAGCGGGCTGACACTGCAGAGGGGTGTGAGAGTGCACAGTTTAAGCACCAAACATGCACGTGTCAGTGTAGTGTGGGGTTTAAGCTAACGATTTGTCATGGCTCTTATGTTGTTGGCATCAAGCTACAGAGGAGAAAGTGATGAAAACTCAAGGCACCTCACGTACAGGAAGTTTTAGAAGGGTTAAAGCAGGACAGAAAGATGATTCAAAAGTGCACGGATCACTCTAAATACAATGAAAGTGTGTCTAAATACTTAAACTCCTCCCACAACCACATTTCAAATAGAACTGCTAAACTGGGCAGTACCTGGAGAGGAGGGGGCGGGGTCTGGAGATATAAGGAACAGTGTGATTGGTCAAACAGGTATCCACATTTCAGACTCCGCCCTCGCAGCCAGGGGTTTATAAAACAAAACCAAAAAAAATGTCTGTAATCAGGGAAGTCATGTGTAATGTCATGAAGTACTTGAAATATCAGTGGCCATTGGAGGCAGCACACATTCAGTTTTTGACCACAAAGCTGCAAATGTACCTATTGTAGTTTGCACTTACATAAAAAGTGAGGGACGAGTCAGAGTGTAAAAAGAGAGACAAAGCTGCACACTGACTCCCAAACAACTTTTAATGAACGACAACGTTTGGACAACTCAATATATAACACAAATATACACTGTACATCATATCACATAAGCCATTACCCAAGTCCATCAATCATATGTCATCATCAGGCAAGTCAATTAAATTAGAAATAAATATAACATTATAAGAAGTGTTTAGTTTCATATTCTTGATTCAGTCCACTAGGGGCTGAGCCTGATTCATCGGCCGGTTTCACTTCGTGGAAACTGTCTGACCTCGCAGCATTAGAATTCGTCCGTTTGACAGTAGGCAGATAGTTTTTTTATTTAACCAATCGCTGCTATTTGGTCGTGACTTATGTAGTGTGATGCTAACGGGACTAACATTAAGCTGTTCCCAAATCCCGTAGGAAGAAGGGCAATAACGTCTTTCCTCTTGATAAAATTCACCAAACATTCTCTTTGTTCCGGCTTTAAATCCTCGATCTTGGGAATCGTTGCCAACACAGAATGTATAGCTCTTCACTGATTGACTGGTGCCTGAACTTGCACATCCGGGGTTCTTGAAAACCATTTAGTGTATTCTGATTCCTGACCTAGTCACTGGAGAGAAATGAAATTGAGTGGAGGCACTAGGTGGCACCAGCCTGGCTACTAGGGGCCAGCGTTTTAAAGGAATAAACACTGTATAAAGCAGGGGTCTCCAACCTTTTTCCTCAGGTGAGCTACCTTGACAAAACAAAAATTCCAGAGAGCTACTCATTTTAGTGATCACAGGAAATAAAGTTTAATGTATAGTATATAGTATAAAGTATAATGCTGGGAAATATTTTGGTCGGAGGCAAAAAACACGATAGCGGTCAAACACAGTGCGTAACCTCGTGTATTTATCCCCGATAATGGTAAATTCCTGCTGCATTATCGGATGCACAAATAGAAGCACGGAAGAAGGAAAATGTCTTTTTCGTATTCTGAGTGAAAAGAACCGCTAACGGTGAATTAAATGGCTTTCAAACATCTGCAGAGCAAACGTAGAAGATCCTAACAAACCGTGGACTCCAACAAGTTCAACAACACATCGAGACTCTTGGAGGTTTTCATCTTTTCTGCTGTGAATGGCCCAGGAGTTTCCACCAAGTCATTGTGGATATCGTGTCCAGGTAGTTGGAGATTTTGACCAGAAATTTGGTTTGGTCCACCTTTTGTAAGGGTTGAAAAGGGTGATTTGGCGTCCGTCGATGCTTATGACCAATTTCTGGTCAAATGGTCTTGGGTCCTCTGCTGTTAGAGTGGATAAATAACCGGGATCGATACCCTTTACGTGGTTTCTCGCTCCGTCTGTCATGTTGAATTAGTGTTTATTGCTGCCGACCAAAATAATTCCCAGCATGCAACACGCACTTTTGTCAACAATGAAACTCGCCTATAAGAGCCATGGCAAGACTTAGATGGAGTTACAGTTAGAGAAAACATAAAACATAAACCATTATATAATGAGTGCACAAAGTCAGGCATCAAAATGATAGATTTACAATAATAATAATAAACATTTAATTCATCGCAGTACAGTAGTGTAATTCAGAAATCCTTTGTCGAGCTACTTGAAAGGGAGTGGAGAGCATCTGGTAGCTCCTGAGCCCCCTGGTATAAAGACTTTTTTAGGAGCAGCTTGTTAATATCCCCGCTTCCTCTTCTTGGGAGCGTCACTTGCTCTATCCCAGTATATTTAAGGGAGGAGACGGGTGCTGCACTTCTTTAAAATGCTACAGGCTTTTTTAGGTCTTGGATATCCGAGTCTTTAATGTTCTAGATGTTTTTCCTACATAACCAAGTCCACAGGGGGATTTTAAAAGGTAAACGACATTGTTGGTTGAGCATGTAATTGACCCTTTTTCATAATCTTCCCTTTGGTTGAGTGCGTATAAGTTTTACATACATAAGTAAAATACACATATACATTGTGTACATGACCTGCAGCAGAGTCGAGACTTGGATCGAGTCAGACTTGAGTCACTACTTTTTGGACTTGAGATTTGAATTGATAAAATGGACCAAGACTTGGGACTCGACTTTGACTTTAAGGTCAGTGACTGGGACTTGACTCGGACTTGAGGCCTATGACTTGAGTCGACTTGAGAAGCACTTTTAAATCTGAATTCTTTCTATTCTGACCCTTTATGGTCACACTAAGATCTTGTCAAAACATTTAAAAGGAAAAAATAACTAAATTCATTATTATAACTCTTATATACTCTTATATACTATATATATATATATATATAATATAATATATATATATATATATATATATATATAATATATATATATATATATATATATAAATACTCACAAATATACTAGGATTTAAGTACAATTTATCTTAAAAGTCAAATAAATTGCAAAAATCTATCAATCTATATTTGGTACTTTGGTTTAAAGACTTGAAATGACTTGAAGGTCAAAGCAGACGACTTGGACTTGACTTGGACTTATGGACCAGTGACTCAAGACTTGACTTGGACTCTCCTGTATTTGACTTGGGACTTGACTCGGACTTGAGGTTAAAGTCTTGAGACTTAATTCAGACTTGCAAAACAACGGCTTGGTCCCACCTCAATGAAGTGTTACACCTCTAATTTAATTTACAGTACTTCCTTCTTTCTACGTTGGAAGTTGAAGTCATCACTCCTCTTCCTTTCCTTTGAGAACTATGAAAACTAAATATGTAAATTGTTTCAGATTTTGCACTCCATAAGTCTTGACCTGTAACCCTGTTGTTGGTCCAGCAGATGCAGCCAAACCCAAGCCCACCACCACCCGCACTATCCCCACCTCCAGTGCTCCGACGGCTCGCCCACGCCCCACAGCGGCCAAGCCCAGCACGCCCTCCTCGTCAGTGGGGGAGAAGAAGCCCGCTACCCCCCGGACGCCTCGCCCCACCTCCACCTCCTCCTCCACCACTGCTACCACGGCAACGGCCACCACGCGGAGCACCACCACACGGACCAGCACCACCAGGACCACCGCCACAAGGACCACCACGGCTCCGGACGTCCGCAGCGTGCGCTCCAAAATCGGCTCCACGGACAACATGAAGCACCAGCCTGGAGGAGGGAAGGTGGGTCCTACGGGAGATGTTAGATCATAGTGTAGGAGCTTTCATTTTTAACATTAATCTTCTAAAATGTCATCTCTCAGGTGTCCAGGTACAGTTTATCACACAAGAAAATGCAATTCTGTAAATCCACTTTTTGGAACTTTTATCAGTGTCATAGTCATTTCCTTTACCCACTCAAAATGGATTTAGAGTGATTCCTGCATAATATTTATTCTCTTGTATTCAAGGCGTTATTTCTCTGATCTTACGTACTGCATTCTCAAATTGTATGTTCTTAATCTGTGATACACATAGCATTCGGCAGTGTCGTGTAGTCATTTTGGTACAAATGGGAAAAAGATCTGCTGCTCACTGCTGTGATCTGCAGCAATCCATCAGAGGGGCAGCTGCGCAGTTGTCTTTGTACTGACGACATTTACAGCGACGTTAGCTCCCATTTGGCATATCAATTTTCGAACGCGTAAGTCAGCACAGTTGCTTCTTTTAAAACATCCAAATTATAACAAAATGATCCGCGGGCTCCATCAATTATAATAATAATTATTATTATTAGAACTATGTAGGAGACACAAGCACAATGTGTCTTGTTTAAGAGTGAATACATTTCAGCACTCATCTGAGCACCTTCTTCAGTTCTGATGAGGTTCAAGGTTCAGGGTTCTAATTTCCAAGGCCATTGAACTAATCTAATGTGTGAAGAGTCATATTTTGCATAATCACTCCCGCCTCTAAGGGGAGAAAATATTTGTCCAGTTGACACAATTGATTTTTTTGCAGTGTAATCTGTTTTATCATACAAGAAGGATTTAGTTAAATTAGTTAAAGTTGTATTCTGCCACATTAATTTTATGGGGCTTGTTGGTAGTTACAAACGGCAAGTATGTGATCTAGTTCACAAGCGACTGATCTAAAAGAACAGTGGGACTTCTTGATCTTGTCAGTGCAAATACATCATCACTAATCAAATCAGTACAGAATCTGAAATTAATATTAAAACTGTACATTACCTGGACCATTTTTAACATCAATGACAAACACATTTTTGACTTGATATTATAACATCCATTTTATTTATTTATTTATTTTTTTATATAGACAAGTAGATGGTTATAGCATGCCTCATCTGTCACGCCTTCTCCCTGATCCATCCTGTGCTTACCTCATCATGCTCTGCTTTTGATTTTGAGTTTGTTCTTATTTGTTTCTTTTATCTTTGGTTTTGTTTTTGTATTGTTTGTGTTTTGGTTGATCCGGTGGGCGTGTCCCAGGTGCCGTCAGCTTCACAGAGCAGGGGTGTGGCCTCCAAAGAGCCCAGCCAGGCCAAAGTGAGTCCCCCTCCCTCTCTCCCTCCCTCTCTCCATCCCTCCTTCCACACTCTACCATAATTATGTATATTCATCAACACTGCATCAGCTTCTTCTGTTTGATTTATGGTTTCAATTTTGGTTTTGCTCCTTTTCCATCATTTTTCTACAATTCAGCCCATTTGCTTTTAACCAAAGACATTTTGGGCTGTGGAATTAATCTTATTTAAATTTTATAACTATGAGTATTGCTCTAATCACTTAAAAATGCTGTAAATGAATAGTGGGTTTGAGGAAAAACCATGTGCGTCTTGTACTTTTCCACTTGCAGAGTATATACTGGTATACAAATGTACAGGCCCTGATGCACTGCGTTCTCTAATAATCGTTCTGAACAATTGTGATTTCAATTCAGATTTAAACAATCCTGATTCTTATTTTTAGTTTGTAAAGCTGTAAACCAATAATCCACTAAACTTAGCCCTACTGGAAATATTGACAGAATGATTCATGACTGTGGGTGGGGATATAAAACTGTGCCAAAATATGTCTCTCTCTTCAGGTAAGTGACACGTGTTACTATGAACCATTAACCCTTCTCAACACTAACACGAGTTCAGATGCCTGTAGTCACTAGGGATGCAACGATACTGTTTTCACGATTCGATACACATCTCGATACAGGGGTCACGATATCAGTTTGATTTCAATACCTTTTAAGATGCAAAAAAAAAAATAAAAATCTGCTAATGAGTATAATATAATAATATAATTCATAAATATCATAAAACACGATGATATTAATGAAACATACATACATTACATGAAATACATTACAGTACATCTACTGTAAAGTTCTAGTTTATATGTGAAGTGTTTTAGTTCATTTGGTCCTGTTATTTACAGCATTTTTATTCAGTGAAATAAGAATAGTGCTTTCTCAGGCTATTTTATAATATAGCTAATAATAGATATAATAATATATAGCTACTCTTAATATAGACTGTATTGGAGTTACACTATCAGACTTTTCCTCCTGAGTGTGTCTCTCATCTCGCTGCGTTCACACAGACTCGTGTGTCGGTGCTGCTCTGCCTCGTCTCCAGCAGCAGCAGAGACAGACAGCAGCTCCTCCCACACTGATCAGCTTTTTTTTTTTTTTTTTTTTTAAAACCCACACACACACAGCGCTCTTAACATCTTCTTTCTCGACACTCAAACTATGTTATAGAAATGTCTCAACAGACTAAAAATTATGAGATAGAGTAAGAGAAATAGATCACATATATTGGTGTGTACACAAGCGCATTTGATTAAAGCCGATGTGAAAAGTATTTAAAAGTTCATATCTTTTTCATTCCTGGGTCTATCAATGTAATAATAAAAAGTCTCTGAAAGATAAGACCCTCCTCTGTTGAAATATTTCAGCTGTAAGTCTCTATGGAACTGTTTTCTTGCTGCAGCTGAGGAGGACGCCATGATAACTCTTTTCGTTTCAGACCAAAACAACACAGAGCACATGGAGGGACCCGTGCATCGATCAAACACGTGTATCGAATCATGACACCAGTATCGAACAAGTTGCATCCCTAGTAGTCACTGTGTGTACTCTAAAACTACGGTCTTGCTTTCCAAGGGTGTCTCTGTACTCATTTTATTCTCTTACACATCTTTTTACTAAAATACTGGATAACAGTGTAGAAGGCCCTGTAGCAGTTTGTGCAGTTATACATTATTGAATGAAGTGATTTAAAATCGGCTTTATTGGCTGTTAGCAGCTACTTCGGCATACCTCAGCAGTTTTTCTTCACCCCTTTACTGCTGCATTATTATTAAACAGTACAGTCATTATTTGCATGAAAAACAATATAACGTAATATCCTGTTCTTTCAACTATTATGTTATTTAGTTTGGGGTTTTAATGGATTTGGAAAGTAAGTAAATGACCACACCTCCTCGTCAAAGTCTGATCTCATCTGATCAGAAGCTAAGCAGGGTTGGGTCTGGTTTAGTACTTGGATGGGAGATTGCTGGGAATTCTAGCTTCTACATACTGTTGGTGTGTCCTTAGGCAAGACACATACCCAGTAAACGTGTTCTATATACATCTCTCTACCAAGTTTACTGACAGTATAAGGGGAAATGTAAAAATTGACTGTACAATATATAAAATGGTAAATGGCATCCACAAATAGTCCTTAGGTTTAGCATTAGTTTAGTGTTTCCTCCTCTAGCACCTGCTCTAGCCCCTGTGTCTCTAACCCTACGTGCTGGTGACTTCTCCATCTCTCTCCTCTTCCTGTCCTCTCCTGTGTCCACCCTGTCCTACTTCCTGTCACATGACCCGCCCCGTGCCCCGCCCCCTCCTGCTGCCGTGCCGTGTTTGTCCGTGTAGGTTCAGATAGTCTCCAAAAAACTGGACTTCAGCCACGTCACCTCACGCCTGGGCTCCAAGGACAATCTGAAGCATGTGCCCGGTGGAGGGAACGTAAGTACTGTCCGCTCCCCCAGCAGCGGGAATCCAACCGGCAACCTCAGAAAGAAGCTGAGAGGGACTGGTCAGGCAGCATGCTGGCAAACTAAACCCACCCAATCCCCTGCAGCTCCTTGCTCTCCTTCTGTGTTGTTACTAACTCAACTAGACATCTGACATTATTTTCTGACTTCTTCTCAAAGTTTTTTCTGCGTGCATCTGCTAAACTTTTCTGCACAAACACAAATAAATTCTACTGATGATGGGTGGGACAAAAATGAACATGTATTTGCAGTGGTTGAAGACTCAATTTTGTTAAGTAAAAGTTCTGATACTGGAACAAAATATATTCAAGTCAAAGTAAAAATATCACATGACAAAACTACTTAAGTAAAGTATTAAAATACCCATTTAAAATGGATTGAATGTAAAAGTATTTCATGCAGATATTGAGATCTAATAAAACTTGCTCAAACTACAAACATGTTGAAAATAAACCCTCAGCTTTTTCAGCAGGTCTTAGACAGTACTTTTAAAATACTTTTATTTTTCAGTCGTTTCCAAAAATGTACTGCAGTAGAAAGTACAGCTACCTGCTCCCAGATGTAGTGAAGTAAAGACAAAGATAAAATCTACTTAAGTAAAGTACAAATACCACAATTTTTTACTTTTTTTTACTGCTTTTACTTTGTTACATTCCACCTTAATACAGGTTGACCCAAAAAAAGTGACATAATTTTCATCATCATTATCTTGACAAGTACTAAGTCTAGCTCAGTGATGATGTTGATGTTGGTACCAGATCCTTTAGCCCTGCATAATCAGCTGAACTCTTTATATTTTTGGTACCAAGTCCAAATATTTTTGCCAATTGGTGAAGTTTTTCCAACTTCAACTTTTTTGTTGCATTGAAGTTGCACAGTCTTGGGTGAGTGTGTGCGACGCAAAATGAGTGTCTCATCTGAAAACAGAACAAAAATAAAACAGTAAATATAAAATCTTGATCTGTTTCTATACATTCTCTGAAAGTCTCAGGTTATTTCAACCAGAATTGACAAAATTATTGGCCTGCAAAATGATGTCAACATTTTTGGAACAGCTTGTATATTTGAATTACAGACAATAAACTATACTTTGCATTTTTCATTCTTTGGAAACTTAAATTAAAGCAACATCATGTAACTTTCTGAAGGGTGGCACCTCACCTGTGTCAATCCATAGACACAGAAAGTTAAAATTATACTTTGGAACATTTTTGCTATAGATATATTGTAGGCCACACTGTGGAAGATGATAACCAAAGGAAAGGCACTTCCATGGAGACGAACAGCAAAGTTATGAGTCAGGTTTGTGGAGATGCAAGCCTCTCACAGTGAGGAAATGTTGAATAGAAATGTTTCAGTGCAATAAACACAACCAAAAACATGATTCTTTTAGTCTATATGTTAGGTAAAAAGTTAGTGGGCCTTTTTACATTTTTAGATTCACTTCTCATCAATAACACTCATCAAAACAGTTGTGTAAACACCAGCATACTTTTCCAAACTAATGCATTTAGTCATAGCTTTATTTTCTTTTTGAGAGTTAAATTAAACTTTCTACTTTCTAATCCTCCTACCATTGCCAGTTTTACTCCATGCTCCATAAAACAGATTGAATCCCACTCATTCTGTTTGCACTCTGCGGCCGAACTGTAATATGTAAACTCTGGGAACTGAAATGGATGTAGGATGGTAATAAAATAGTAATGTAGTAAAACAGTGATTGGAACCTACATACAGGCTAATGCAGTGTATTTGTGACAGCTCGTTGACAGATGTAAAAGCACGGCTGATGATTTGTGTGTGCGACAGGTGCAGATCACAAACAAGAAGGTGGACCTGAGCAAAGTGACCTCCAAGTGCGGCTCCAAAGACAACATCAAGCACAAGCCTGGTGAGTCGAGTCCGGCCCGGGTGAACTACGGAGATGTGTCTGTGTGTAGCAGTAGTAGTTGATTCCCAAATGAGTGAAAATGCGAGCGTTGTGCTTATGTAACAGTCTGCGTCCTGTTTGTGCCCGGACAGGAGGAGGGGACGTGAAGATCGAGTCTCACAAAGTCAACTACAAAGACAAGGTTCAGTCCAAAGTGGGTTCTCTGGACAATGTGGGTCACAGTCCTGGAGGAGGCAACGTCAAGGTGAGACATTACAGAACATTTTTACATTATTATATATATACTGGAAATCTGTGTCTTTATGTTAAACTGCATCCCACTAAACCTGAGCAAAATAAGAAGTTTTCGTATATTCTTCTTTTTTATAATTATTAAAGACAGTAGAATGTAACATTAAAAACACAATAAGAAGCATGAAAACAAGACACAAAAACATAAAACAATAACTAAAACAAATTACACACACACATATATATAAGTTAATAAAACTAAAATGAATGTGTTAGTGCAGCACAACAATACTGCTCGGCCCCCTGTTATTTATATTTTGGCCTATTTATAAGTTAATTTTCCTTTCTTTTTTTCTTTTTTCCCCCCCATTTTTAATAAACACTTTTAGTCACTTAAATAATATTATTTTCTCTATCATCATTTCCTTTCATCATCTTTTTTTTTTTTTACTACAATCTTATAGCATCGTTTTATTATTAGGTATTTCCATTTTCTTCCTCCCTTTCTTTCCTTTCTATTTTCATTTATTTATTTTTATTATGATTTTTTTTTTATTTTTTATAAATTATAAATTGTTTTAAGGATTACCTATATCAGGGGTCTCCAAACTTTTTTCCTCTGGTGAGCTCCTTTACAAAATGAAAATACCAGAGAGCTCCTCGTATTAGCGGTCACAGGAAATGGAGTAAATAGAAAAGAGTAAAAAGAGCCTTAGATGAGATACAGTTTGATGCCTAAAACATTTGAACAACTATGATCTATTTATTAGTGTGCTGGGTGTCAGAATGATACAATTGCAATGGTAACAGGCATTTAATTAAATCAGATTTTATTATTTAGCACAGTACGTATTGATTCACAGTTCCCTTGGTGAGCTGCTTGGAAGGGGGAGGAGAGCTACAGACTGGAGACCCCTGATCTATATTGTCTTTTCCTGTATTCTATTGATTCAGCTTCTGTTCTGCTACAAAATGCAATTAAAAAAGCTTTAATTAACACGTGAATCACACCGCTTTGAAACATGGACTTCATTTTAGGCTAGTTTTAAAGACATCCTATGTAACTTTTCTGGTGGGCTGTTTACTATCTACTTGTCTCCATGGAGATATTATTTTGTTGCAATGTTCCACAGTATGGCATTATTGCAGTATAGCATCTTATCTACCTCCAGGGTAGCTGCGAGGTCTTAAAAGTCTAAAAAAGCCTTAAATTTTGTTGTCCAAATCTTATTTTTTTCACAAAGTTCTTAAAGTTCATTAGCCTATTTTTTTGTATACTCAACCGGGCTGCAGTGCAATGTTAAATGGAGGAAGGAAAAAATTCAACAACGTGAAATAACAGTACATGAATGAATGTTTAATTTGGAGTATGTACAAACAATACTTAGTTTTTTGCGCCAGCAGCAACTGTAATCAGTTCCGTCTACACTGCCCAAAACGCAAAATTCTGGTCAGATCTGCTCACGTCGTGTACGCGTTTACATCACATACATCACCAACTAGTCGCCTGACATGCACCCAATCGAATTTCACACACATTTGCATCACCATTTGTACGCAGATTTTCTCCTGAAAACATTAGTCTAAAAGCGGAATAAAAACTGAAGACGCTACACCACTTTGTTGTCTCCAGTTAGGACCGTCATCATATAAACGTAGCCTTAGATTCTAGATATAGCACTGTAATTGGTTAGTCATTATTAGAATTAGATCTGGTGTTTTTCGCCGCATAATGGGTACAACGTTGGTCTTCATTTTCATTTAAGTGGTCTTAAAAAAGTCTTAAATTTTGGGTAGTCAAACCCGGGGACATCCTGATCTCCATGAAGACAACAACAATAACAAAAAAACACCATTAATAAAACACAATGAATGCGAGATGGCTGCCACACTGTAGAGCATTCTAGACAAAGTACATACATCTCCATGGAGAGCAGAAAAGTTGCATAGTGCACCTTTATGACACAATTTAATTTTATATACGCTAAAACCAGTATTTTCCATTTTTCAGGTACATTTCTAACTGCTTTGAATTTACTTGTTGCATCTTATATTCCATATTTCTGAAGAATTTTTTTTATAGCACGTTACATAAGACAGCTTTAGCAGATTTAGTTTTGTGTGTTTGTGTGTCTACATCCATAATATTAATGTGCGTCATTGACTTTCCATTATTGTTGTTTGTCTTTTAATCTGAAACAGCCTCTTTTTTAGCAGCTACTAACCATCCTGTATACTTTTAACCTGGACTAACTCAATTAAATCGCCCTGTTCCTGTAATATTTGGGTGAAATCTCTGTACTCCAGAGGCAGTAGTTGTGGCTGCCCCTTTCCCCTCAGCCTATCTCCACATCCCTGTATCCTCTCACTCCTCTCACTCCTGTATCCTCTGCATGAGCTCACCGTTATTGTTCATATTTTAGTCCCAGGAATCGTTTTAAGTGAACACCTGAAAGTAGCGTCGGTCTAAAAATAACCACAAAGGACCAGTGGAGTCTAATCTGGCACATCAGCGTCTGCATCGCCTACAGTGCTTTTTAAACTTCAAACTCCATTTTGATACTAAAGAAAAGGCTCTAAACTAATTTTCATAGCACAGCGGTGATGGAAAACATGCCTTTTTGACAATAGAATGCAATCTTAAAGTAATGGTTGTTTTTTAAATATTCTATCATGTGGTCTTGTGCTCGTTCTCATAAACTGTAGATCAAGAACATTCTAAAACTATTCAGGAAACGTCCCATTTTGTCTTGTATATGGATTTTTTTTCTTTTTACAATAGCTATACTTGTTTAAATGAGTATCTACTTTCAGTACTGGTGCAATTATCGATTAGTATCTGGGTATTGATATTAGGGGTGGGACGATATACAATTTCCGCAAGATGAGATGAGACTGGATCTACGAGAACGAGACTTAACAAGATTTTGACATCATTTACTGTAAATAAATTGTGCTGTAACGTTCCTAAATTTATTCTCACTGATTGTTCTGTTACTTACTATTTTCATTGTAGCACTGCTTTTTGTGACTGCAGCATCTCAAAAATTAATTTTGCCAGATTTTTTTTATCCAATCCAAACGTAAAAAAATCTCGAGATAATTTTCCTCGTGCGTCCTCGATCTTGTGACAGTTTTCTCTTGTGAGATCTTGTGGCACGAGATCTTGTACCATTCCTAATTGATACTTTTAGCTACCCTAAGTGGGACTATAATAATTATTAGATTTTTATAGCCCTAATCCTATTATTGAATAGCTCTGTGAAGTACTGATGAACCACAGCATAAAGTACTACAGTATTTAAGAATGTACTGTCATGTATTTGAACAATGGCTTTCTGATAAGTAAATCAAGAACTTTTGAGAATAAAAATGCATTTTTCATGTCAGTTTTACAATATTCTGACCAAAACCAATGCTTAAAGAAACCTGTAAGTGAAACGATAGGGGATCACTGCCCCCTACAGGTCAGTGGTAATATTAGTTCATTTTTCATTGTCCGGTACTGAGCAGCCGAAACTATCAGGTATGAAAACAAACTCTTGGTCTGAAAAAAGAACCTAATAGCATATTTATATAAGAGTTGACTTTTTAAATGTCTTGAAAAGCACTTATTGTGAATCATTACGGTCAAAATAGAAAGAATTAAGATTTAAATGTGCCTAATGAATTATTTTGGTCATTTCATCTGCACTGAAATGGAAGGATCATGGTCTATGTAGTTTCCTCTGTTTTACTGCATTGTACTCTATATTACTGTAGTACATTTGAGCATACCACATCACAGTACTTCAGTTACATCTAAAGTAACAAGTGGGAGCGACATGTTCCAGTTTGTTCCTGTAAAATCAATCACCACATTTATCAACTGTAAAGAGAAAAGTATTTTCTAAAAACATATATTTTGGGAAAATTCAGATTTAAAAGTGCTTCTCAAGTCTTCTCAAGTTACACGGCTCAAGTCCGAGTCAAGTTCCGAGTCACTGACCTTCAAGTTCAAGTCGAGTTCCAAGTCTTAGTCCATTTTATCAAGTCAAGTCTCCAGTCCTAAAAATTGTGACTCAAGTCTGACTCAAGTCCAAGTCACGACTTACAAGTCCCCACCTCTGCCGTGTAGTGTACAGTATTGATTTTCAACCAGTGTGCAGGGGAACAAACACTATTGTGCCTTGGGAAAAAAATCTAATTTCAGTCAAAGTAGCTCACACGTTCAATGGATTGAATAATACACAAAAATCAAACTGATCAGTGTAAGCTAGTCACATTTTAAGTCACTTGAAGTTAACCGAGTTGTGTCGTAATAAGTGTGGTAGTTGTTTCAGTACACACTTCATATATTTTGTTTTAAATCCCTTTAATCCTAAACCTTCTCTCTTAAAACCACTCTACCCCTTCACTTTGCAGAAACCCTTTCACCTTTAATTCTACTTCCACTTTACCTCTCTGGTTTACTTGTATAATCAGTAATCAATCTTGTGCTCACTTTATTCTTTTGCGCAGTGCTTTTGTTTCTTGACACTATCACTGTTTTTTAAGTTCTTATTTTAGCCACACTTCATGACGTCACTTGTTTTGTTCTCTTCGTTTGGTCTGGCTCCAGTTTCAGTCCTAACACCTCTATTCTCTACAACTGAACAATCAAACATCAGAACTGCAGGACTGATTCTGAAGCCAGCCGCACCCCTCCCTCACCACTGACCCTGCTGTTTGTGTGTAGGCTGAGGGGGACCAGGAGCCAGAGGGCCAGGAGACAGGCCTGCCCACAGACGCGCCCGCCCCCCCCAGCCCCAGCGCCGAGGGGGGAGCGGCCCACCACAACGGCCTCTGTGAAGGGGAGGGGGCGCAGGCTCTGGACGCCCTCATCCCAGAGACAAGTGAGTACAGGGGGAGACTGACCACCACCATGACCAACTGAAGAAAGAAATATATAAGTGGATGTAAGACGTGGGAAGATGTTACATACTTGTTGATGTTTCTGTGTTTTTATATGTTTCCATTAGTTTTGTCCCGGGTAATCACTGTTTGTTTTACAACTCTTATAAGTGGATAGATCCAGTTTGCAGGGCTACTTAGTATTTCAAACTTATTGCTATGGTGACATTGGCTAGAAGTAACATAAATATGTGAAAATAATGCACTATAGCAAATAGTCAGCTTTCATTTTTTAATAGATCATTTTAATTATTTAATTAATTTTCAAGTGTTAAGTACATTTTGGGAGTAACACACCCGATAACAGAAAATGCACTACTGGATATTATATGTGGTCAGTTGTGCTACAACAGTACACAGTGTGTCCTTGTTAAATTGTAGACGAAGAAGTCAGCTTAAAGATGACCAAACCAAGACCAAGGTGACACTAAAAGCTACAAACAATAAATGTGTTTCCAGCACATTTTACAATATATACAGATAAAAAATGATTTCAATAGAGTTTAACATTCCCGCTTGCTCTGGTTCTGGAAATAACTTTCCATTCAGTTCTCCCATTAAATTCCCATGGAAATTTTAACTGTGAAGTGTTGAAAGGCACCACGGAAACTAACCTGCTATATTCTAACTATTATCCAGAACACGATTGTTTTCAGTCCAAAAGAACCAAAAAAACTGGCTAAATGTTTTTAAAGAACACGTGGTAAGCATAATACCCTTTTAAACATTCCTTTTCTAACTTATAATAATGGAAAATTGGAAAATACTTTAGAAACTACACCTCTTTCCAATGAGGCATTTAGGTGATGCTACTGTCAGCAACGTGAATCGACATTTAGAAAATAAACAAACAAAGTCCTTTTGCTCTGTGAATACTATGCTACCAGAGCCATGTGTTTACTGTGAACACATTTTGTCCACAGAATGAGTCCATGTGTAGTTTATGGACTTAAAAACTGCTCAGGAGTCTAGATTTTTATCTGTGACGCAACAATTTGGGCATTATGCGATCAAAGCATTTTTGAGGCAACTGTAGAGTAACTGATTGCTGAAACAGATGTTAATGAAACACAAAATACAACTGTAGGTAGGTTTTTGATGAAATTATATCTTTGGGTGGTCTTTAGTTTAGTTTAGTTTTTTAGTCTGTAGGAAAAATGAATAGGAAATTTACTTCTGGACCCTGGTGAGCGGTCATTTTTGAGATCCATTATGACCAAAACAATTATGATTATGATTTTGTCTAAGGTCTTACAAAACCCTGAAGCCCAATCACATCTTTAAAACCAAACATCTGAGCGTAGATTTCAGACATTGTGTTGTGTGTTCGTTCGTGTCCATGTAGAATGATCACCCCTCGCCGTCTTTGACTTCTTATGTTGCAGGCCTCTAATTCTCCTGTCCCTCTGCCCTCGACACCACCTCACCCCCCTTGTCACCCTCCTGTCACCCATCTCCTCCCCCTCTCACCCCTCCCGTACCTGTTTACATCACACCCCCCCTCCACCCCCCTCCCCCTCCATACCCCCTCCCTCTCTCACCCCTGTGCCGCAGATTGAGTTTTTCAAGCTCAACTTCCGCGGGAAAGCTCGCTCTCGCACGGACCACGGCGCTGACATCATCACCCGGCCCGCCCCCTCACCCGGACAACCGTCACCGCGGCAACCACAGCAGTAGCCCCACCTCCCTTCCACCCGGACGGCTCCTCCTCCTCGCCCCAGCGTCACCACCGCTCTCTCCCCCGACGGACGAACGCTCGGATTTGGCAGATTGCGTTAGCTTGTCTCCACCTCTCCCCTCAACTAATTATTATCGCAATTAATCTTGTCATTTAAATGTTGGATCAATATGGCAAAATGCAACTTTCTCAAATTCTTTTTTTCACTATTTCAAACTCAAATATTGTTTCTAATTCTGTAAGCTTATTACAAAAAAATGAATTTATTTGAATCAAAATTGAAAACGTTGTACTTCAAAATCTGATCTATCTGATAAGTAGTAGTACCAGTTTTCATTAGACCACAGTAAAGTATTCACATGAGGAATTTGGCAGGTTTTTATACCAGATGCCCTTCCAGAAAATTATTTAGCTACATAAAAATTGTATCAACTCTAAAGATACGCAAAGCAAACGTGTGCAGTTTTAGACAATTTTAAAAATGTATCCATGGGTTTCACAACAGAATGATGAGAAATTAGGATTGTTGCCATAGCGATTAACAAATTTGAATGGGTCCTGGAAATGTTGCATATAACAGGAACCCACGAAAGCTTTTACTACCACTGTGTCCAATATATTTTCCTGAATCTGAACTGTACCAGCGAAATCCACCTTCCCCCTTTGAATCAGCTGACCCAGTATGACTTCATGTACGGACAACCCCATTTGAAGTACTCCTCCATACTGCATATTAACCATACAGTAGTACATACAGTTGAACTTCACCGGTACCCCCTCGGACTTACCATCTGGTTGTGACAAAACGGTCGCCTATCCTACAATACTCAAACTCATAAACCTGCGTCCTACACTGCCAGTCAAACGTTTAGACACACTTTGACTTTTTTTTTTTTTTTTACATTTTTATGACTATTTACATTGTGGATTCTCATTGAAGGCATCAAAACTATAAACATATACACATATAGTAAACAAAAGTGTGAAGAACCTAAACCAATTCAGGAGACTCCATCATGAAACTCACTGAAAGAAAGTCAACACTGCAAAAAAGCTTGGCCAAAATGTAACATATAAACATTTAAATCTATCAGAAAATGATTTAAAAGTAGAGAAATTATCTGTCCACACAACAAGATTATCTTATTTGACAAGTTCTCTTAAAATAAACAACCTCTAGGCTAGAATTAACCCGTCTCTGGTCAAGTAAGTAGATAATAAATCTGAAAACAAGATGAATAACCTGATATAAGTTTTAAAATCTTGGCCAGATCAGAGAAATTTGCAGTGTCAACAAAGCAAAGGGTAGCTACTATGAGCAGTTTATAATCTAAAATCTAAATTGTTTTTGTTTACTATATAATTCCATAGATCTCGCTTCATATTTTTGATGTAGAAAGTTGTAAACATGAAGAAAAAAACGTTGAATTCAACCAGAGGGTGTGTCCAAACTTTTGACTGGTACTGTAAATCTCGTGCACATTTCAAACCGCTCGCCTGTTTTTCCTCGTACTAGTGCTGACGTGAAATCGTGTAACGTCTGTGTTTTTGATTTTATTAGAATTTCATTTAAGACTGTTGTTAAATTTCGTATAGTTTTAGCGATTTCAGGTTGGGTTTTTTTCACAGAAACACGCACAGGATTCCGTACACCGTAAGCACACGAGTAGGAAGAGGAATGCGAGAATGGAAGTCTGTTCAGAGGAAACAGGAAGTAGATTTTGGAAGAGAAAGTGACTCGAAGGACGTTTCCTAAGTGAAAGGAAGTATGTCCTGTATGCAGAGGTGGGTAGTTTAGTCAGAAATGTACTCGAGCAAGAATACTGTTACTTCAGAATGGTTTTAATCAAGTAGAAGTACAAAATAGTGGTCCTAAGAATCACTCAAAGTCAAAGTTTCTTTCTAATTTTTTTAAGGAAACTACTAGTCAAATAAGAGAAAGATCTGGACTTAATATCTGATTTATAATTTGAAGTTGATGTAATTTGAAAGAAAACTGTAATTAATGCATAAAATCTGGTATTTTCAAAGGCTAGACCTAAAAATGAAACAAACTAAATCATATATTTTACTTACATAAAGCTTTTGTCACTTTTCAATTATTATAATTTTTTTATTTTTTATTTTGAGTTTGTGCAAAGAGAGAATCAATAATCATACACATACACCATATACATTGTAAACAACAGAAAAGCACATTTCTTGAAAAGGAGTTGGTAGAAGAAAAACTTATCAACCCACCACTGTTCATTACATAGTTTAAAAAAATAAAAAATTATATGCTTGCTTCTGTACATTAATGTCGAAACTTTACAAATATTTACATATAGCAAAATAATTTAAATATTATACATACTAAATATAGTTTTAACCCAATTTCCTTTTTTTTTGTATTGTGCTGTGTTATGGTTGCACAAACTAATAATAATAATAAAGAAGGCACAGTTTATCGTTTATGATCGTATGAAAATAAACAAAATTTAGACTTACTCACACTGGGAAGAGGAACCACAACTTTTACACAAATAAGAGTACTGTGGCACTCTCAAATACCGTATATTAAGTACTTACTCGAGTAGATGTAACTGAGTACTACCCACCTCTGCTGTAAGTGCCTGTTGTCAGTAGGGAGTAGCGCTCTGCTTACCTGTGGAAAGTGAGAAAGTGAACGGCGTTACAGAAGCTGAAAGTTTGAAACGACGAGAGAAAGATTGTCGACAAAGCACCGAAGTTGGTTTCTAGCGTAGCCTCCAGCTGCCTTCTCCGCATGGCCACGTCTTCTGCTGTTGCGCACCGCCCCACCGAGTCTTTAAAGGCGCTGTACCTGATTTTGATCATCTAAAAAAACACGACAAACACAACTAGTTCATTTGAAGCAGTTTGCAGTTCTCCAAAGTTATGAGGTACAAGTTTAGAAGCGCTTTTCAGAAATTTCAGTGGTAGTGCTGACATCAACTAGCATGCTAACCACACACAACCTGATTCTCTGACAATTAAGCACTCTGTAATAATTATGCAACAGGTTTATTTTGATTTCAAGAGCTGCTTCTACGAAATATCTATACTGGAGCAAAACGTATGGAAAAGAAATCAGGTACGGAGCCCTTAAACGGCCACACCTTAGGATTTTTATCTCTTCATTCAAAAGCTGTCGTCAGTGATCTATGTTGGTGATTTAGCTGTTCTATGCATGCCTAAACATCAGGTAAAAGCAAAAAGAATAGAATTAAAAGTCAAATACAAGTAGTTAAGGCCACTATTTAAACCACTGAAAATATATAGGTTTTGTAAAACGTTTAATGCCAAAAAAAAAGTTATTTGTTTGAGTATTACATATAAAAACGTATATTGTAGCACCCCAGTACCTTAAAATAAGAGTGTAGCAGCTGACCCCACTGCTATGCACCAAAGGATAACACTGAATTCTTGCTGACTTTCTGCCTTATTGATTTTAAACCATATCTAATTACGTATTTGAATTCTTTTGAAAATTACAGTAATTTTAAAATCGACAGTTTAAAATCAACAAAACGTTTATTTGAATTTTCGCAAAAACCATGTACTCATCACATCATATATTAATATTTTTTCATAAAATTGTTTTCGCAATTTTTCACTAGCCTTGATATCATATTCTGCCTTCCTCGTTTTTAATTTTGCTTCTAAAAATTTAAAAGCACCTTAATGATCAAAGAGGTCTCGGAACAGAAGACCCTAAAATATTCAGATTTTCAAACAAAAACAAACTTTAATTCAAGTTTTTCTTCAATTTTCGCATGTGAATAGAGCAATAATGTATACACTTTATTTACCTTCCCATAACCATCCCTTTAACACCGAATATTACACACGTGAAATAATGCAGCTTGACTTTTATTTTATTTTTTTGTCACTGTCTCGCTAGTTCTTAAAACAATATTTTCCTGAACATTTAAATTTTAATATTTGCTTAAAAATATCTAGCAATGGGTCGAGCGGAGGGAGGGTTTTAGACAATGAATTTTACAGATTTCAGTTTCATGTATCCTGATGACGACGATGGTGGAATTCTTATTGGAATTTGAGCCCTTTTCGTTGGGAAGGGGCCGACGAAGTGCAAAGAATGTTTTTTTTTTTTTTTTGAGATATATTGTAAAAGACGCAACACTTTTGTATATTATTTATCGTTGTGGTCATGTTAGCCCTATGCTAGTTGTGCTCGGACAATTCGCAGAGGTGGAATTTTAATTTTGTTTTTTTTGGGAGAGAAAACTGGGATTTGTGTTTTGAGATTTCAAGCAGCTGGCGTGGTCTTTTCGTGTAGTCGGATAATCTACTCTGATTTTAACAACAATAACGTTTTTGTTTTTTGTTTTTTTCATTTGCGCTAGGCCAATATTTATACAAGGTTATCTCCATGGTGATTTAAATGACTTTACTAGCCTGTATACGTTTCCTGTATAGAGCAAAGGGGTTTAAATTGCCACAAAAATACTTAATTCTAGGGTGACCAGATGGGACATTCCCAGTTTTGAGCCCTGTGTCCCCCCAAAACCAGTGATTTGTCCCAGTTCAATTCAAGAAATATCCCAGATGTCCCTATTTTTGACCAATCTGATACTTGCCAACTGTAAAAAGAGACATAAATTAAATGAAGCTGCTTAAAAATGACTAAAAACACAAAGAAAATGACTACAAAGTTATTATTTTGTTAGATTTTCTGTCAACATGAATGAAATAAGAACAGTTTATTATTATTTTTCTCATGATTATTGTTTAAAAGTAATCATATGTAATGGATGTAAACAAAAATGTGAGCAAAATGTAAAGCAAAAAATAAAACTACTTTGAGTTCTGGTGATCTAGCAGGCAACCGAACTAATAAGAAAAGTTTCCAATCCATAACTCAAACAAATAGAGATGTGCATGTCTCAAGAATAATGGGGAAAAACAGACAATAATTATTAGGGATGTAACAATAATCAAAAAATCGTGATATTGTATCGTCAAAGTTCTTACAATAATATCGTGGATCATCACAATATATGGAATTACAAGTCAGTTTGCTTAAATTAAGAGTTATGGTGCAGCAATAGCTAATAAAACAGAGCAAACTACATAGACCATGATCCTTTGCTCCATTTCAGTGAAGCTTACATGAAGAAATAACAGTTCTAAACACTTTTAAGTCTTAGTTATTTTGGATTAAGTTTTGTAAAGGCATTTTAAGAGTTTTATTAGTAGTTTTGTTCACAGCCTTCACAAAATATTGCAATAAATATTGTATATCTCGTGAAAATATTGTACCGAGAGATCTGAATATTGTTACATCCCTAATCGTGAGCCTCCCCAACATATCGTGAGCTTTCCCGCGATATCGCAATAAATATCGTACTATTCATACCATGATGATATCGTATCCTGAGACTTGGATATCGTTACACCCCTAATAAATAAATTTAAACAAAACAAAAAAAATGGTGGCCTCAAACTCAAGTTCACCTAGGGCCATCTAATTGCTACCTCCGCCACTGCTCACATCAGTCGCAAATGGACTGAGTTCAGAACAGTTTTGCTTAATTATGACTCGTTTTACAATTTTATCATTACCAGTCCTCCCAAACCGAATATGTCCCGGCTTTTTATTTAGAAAATCTGGTCATCCTACTTAATACTTAATACTCCATTTTGACATGTCTTTAAGCAGTTAGCGCATTTATTTCTATAGACTAAAGGCTACACCACATGCACCAACAAATCTATCCAATGTATTTAATTCAACTACTTTTTTTTTAACTTAATTTGTTTTTTAGTTTTAAGAAATTCACAATGTTGTTTAAAAGGGAAAATACAATAGCGCGGACAGAACCTTAATAATTTATGATACAATCTCTCGCTATTACACATTGTGGGCTAAAACTACCCTTTCATTTGACCTATAACTTTAAAGTGTATGTACGTACGCTATAGGTCTGGCCCTGGACACATGCTACCCCCTGTGTGAAGACGCTAACGTTTGCCGCGCAGCGTGTGTGACGAAGCTACTGCACGCGTAGCCGCCGTTAGCATAACACTAGCTGAAGCCAGAGCATGCTACCAACTATGGGATGTAGTGTTAGCTAGAATTACTCTTTGTCATTTTTGAGAAAACTCCTCATTGTTTTTTGTGTTTTACTTTTTTTCATTAATTATGACTTTTATTTTCTTGGTTTGAACAAAGTGTTTATTGTGATTACTTGTTAATTAGTGATGTGATTATTAAACATGAATAAAATGAACTAAAACTCCCATTTGTACTTTGTCTCTGTTTTTTTTTATCACATTTCTGAGACTTGTAAATGTAATTGGAACAGGTGAAGATAGTAGAAATAATATGTATGTATTTATTTGTTTTGGATAAGCCCTTGAGATGTTTCATATAATAACAACTGAATATTATGAACCTACATGAATACAGTTAAAATGTCCCAGAGGATAATAGTACATAGACTGTATAAATCTTTGATTTAAACGTTTTTGAAACAGTCATAAAAGTAAGCACAGTGAATTGCACTGGGCAGGGTGACCAGATGTCCCTATTTACCCAGGACAGTCCCAGTCTTGAGCCCTGTGTCCCCTGTCCCAGCAGATTTATCCAAAATCAATAATTTGTCCCAGTTTTACACAAGAAATATCCCAGTTGTCCCTATTTTAAACCAATTTGATCTAAACCAGGACTAAACTGAGACTAAACCAGGACTACTTCAGGTTTAAATTAGGACTAAAACAGGACTATCACAATTTATAACTAATCTGATCCTTGTCAACAGTAAAGATTGACATAAAATTGTCATTTGTTTCACTAAAATACAGGAAACTGTTTGCGAATGACTATGGATGTAACAATATCCAAGTCTATGATATTTATTGCGATGTCGTGGGAAAGCTCATGATATGGTGGAGAGGCTCATGATAAGGGATGTAATAATATCCAAATCTCTCAGTACAATATTTTCACTATACACATCCCATGGTATGATATTTATTGATATATTTTGTGGAGGCTGAAGAGTTAAAACTGTTAATATGCTACTTTTTTCCCTCTTAAAATGTAAGACTATAAAGACTTAATCCAAAGAACTAAGACTTAAAAATGTTCTTTCTTCATGGGGTCTGCAAAGAGACTTGTAATTGGATATATTGTGATGGTCCATGATATTATTGTGAGAACTTTGATGATGCGATATCACAATATTTCAGTTATTGTTACATCCCTACAAATGACCATAAAGCAAAACAAATGTAGTCACAGAAGTCCATCACATTATGACTGACTGCACAATGCACACATGCTCTTTTCACAATTTTATTTATACCAAAGATCCCAACCTGAGTGTGCCCCAGTTTAGAATTTTGAAAATCTGGTCACCCGCTTTGGGCCAGTATTCTTATGTAGACATACTCTAACTATGTTATAATGTACTAAAACACGTCAGTCATTGGTTCATCATGCACTTTCAGCAGCTACATAGACTTACTGGTATTTAGACTAGTTTGATCAATAATAATAAAAATCAACATGACTAAAATAAGGATTTTCTTACAGCAGGTTTACAGACTGTACAGTTATCAACAGGGTGTCAAGGAATCGTCATTTTAAGCTCTAAATCAACACTTTACATCTAGAGAGTATAAGAAACTTGTTAAAGGACAAACTATATCATTTCAGAAAGTGCGGCAACCCCTTTACAGTTTTTCTCTTGTCTATGTGACAAACAAACGGCTTCATTCATTTCAGATGCATATTGCTGGTTTTCAGCCTTCAGAATGTGATGATGTAATACTCTCACATGGGAGCAAGAGACAGATTTTCCTGTTTATTACATCATTTCTATCAGCTACTAAACCCAAGACCTCACTGGATTGCAACAGAAATCTGCATTTAACAATATTAATTTTAGCTGCCCCCATCTGTATTAAATATTACTGGCCTATAGAATGTTGTGATCATCTGAAAACCAGTAATACCTAAACTGATACCATGTTTGTTTTCTGTTTTGTGTTATATTTTTTTGCTTTTTATATTAAAAACACATCTTGAGCTCGAACTGATCTAGTTTATTAAGCAAATTTAACTCCTACTTAGGCTTATTGGTATTTAGACGTGATTTATACCTAATAGAACTGTTTTTATACCTTTTTTGTCATATAATACCCTTTCCAACCTGTAGGGGCCAGCAGTGACTCCACACGTCACCTCTTTAAAGCCCGAAGAAGACGGTTGCTGTGGAAACGACAACATCTTCAGAAGGTACCGCTGACCATTATTTATCTGATCTAAAAAAGCATTTATTTCACGCACAGATAACTCCACCTCTCCAAAACACATTTATGCGTTTTATACTTTTAAGACTATACGAAAAATACGTCAGGATTTAGCATTAGCCCGTAGATTGCGTAAAGAGAGGAGGAGAAGCTAACACGGGCTAATGCTATTGTGGATGCTAGCTGTTAACCTACATGAGACACGATTTTAATTTACTTTAACTTTATTTTAGGCATTAGATTTTAGTGTAAGTGCAATGTTTGACAGCTGTTTACCTTTTAGAATAACGATGATGCAAGAGAGTTTGCAGCTTGGGCTAAAACCTGACGATCGACGTTTAAATTAACTTTATTTTTGCCAAATCTGTCACTCGTGCCTATTTAGTGTTTGTTCATTTATGTGTTGAGAAATCTGAATTAAAATAAAGCAGTTACAGTGATTGAGTGTAAGTCAATGCTGTTTAAGATTCAATTTAGTGCTGAAAGAAGAATCGCAAGGGCTGCAGTTTTTGAAGCACCATCATTTCCTCCACAAACAACAAATAAAAACTGCTTATCCTGTAGTTTAGATCTGTAAACGTGTTCTGATCTGTGATTCTTGTATTCGTTTGTCACTTCAGTCTTTCTGTCAATTCTTGTGGACATGTTTAGAATGTAAACCTTGAAGAGAATCCTTTTATAAAAACATAAATCGTAAATTGTCACAATCACCACACTACATATGTTTCCCAAATTGCTGGTGGGATATTGGTGGGTTCAATGGTGCAGTTATTGTGCCCTTGAGCGAGACTCTTAATCCGCATTGCTTCTAGTGTTGAACTACACTGTGTGAGAGCAAACACGGGACAATGGATGGAAATTAGTCACTGGCTCCAATCTGACATGTTTACTAGAGACACAGAGATAGACAGATAGACAGAGCCAATAAGTCAATAATAGTTAATATAAATATGAACATAGATGAATAATGAGGTTCGAGCTGCCAGGAAATAGTCACATTGCTGCATTTCTTCTCACAGTATTACACATTTACGCTCTAAACCATTGCATCGATGACCCATGAGAACATTTTGACTGTACAACAATAGTGATTACATGACAGCTTCTGTGTGTGCTTTGTTTGTGTGCAGTTGTCATGGCGACTCAACGGCCTCCCTCTGGCATGGCTCGACCCGTGAGCAGGAGTGGATCTGGGAGACCCCCCACTGCAGTGCGGCCCCCTCCCACAGCCATACGAGTGGGCACCGGGGTAAGACTCACACTCATGTTAGAGAAAGAGCACATTATCCCTGAGAATCCTACATTCTTACCATGAGTTGCAAAGGGCTACAGATAAAACAGAGATGGTCCCACTGAAGAAAAACAAGTTTGGGCTGTTAGGCTAAGGATTTATCTCTGATGTTGTGATTAGATGTGATAGTCCTAAACATTATCTGGACTATACATGATCAATACTACATTTTTATTTGTATTCTCTATTTGGAAACCTTCATTAACCACATTTCATATGACTGAAATATAGGTATAGGCACAACCAAAACAAGGCTTCATTTGCAAAGGTCACATGATCTGAATCAGTGCTTCAAAACACCTTCCACTTGAAAATAACTCAGCCTCCGTGGAGCTGTGAGTTCCCTTATCTCTAATGACACAGAGACATATATTGCTGACAAACCTGTGAGCAAGAGGTAAAACAATCAAGTTCTCTGTTACGCACCCATGTACTCTGTATCAGTACTGCCCCCGGTGGTCCAAACAAAGCATCATTCACAGTCCACACTCAAATATAAGTCTCCTTCAGTGCACGCTTGGGAGAGTGTGAATCCTTTCCTCCGTGTATGTTTTTCAGATGGTCCCTGGTACAGGAGGTCTCTCTGGGATGAGAGGAGGGCTCCCTGTGGCTGTCCCTGGATTGTTAGCTGCTCAGATCAAAGTCACAGACAGACCTGTCACACAGCAGGGCCTCAGCGGCATGAAGACCGGAATGAAAGGTATACACTTCTGATAAGGGGTGTCAGAAGTATCGAAAATCAGATACTAACTGATACAAAACTAAAACTAGTATCAAGAGCTAGATTTTTATTTGAGCAGGTATTGATACAAAATGAATGATGCATTCACAGGACAGAAATGAAGCTTTCCTGAATGTGTTTAGAATGATGTAGAGCTGTATCAGTACAAGTAGAAGAGCACATAGACTAATATACACTCATGGACCACTATGGAACCTACCTGGACAGCTGAGGGACTACACACACACACATAAGACCACATGGGAATAGAAAAGAAAGTACCACTATTTAATGTTGAAAATCACATCTACCCCATCTCCTTTCTAAATAGAGTGTTCTTTTAATTATTATAATTGTCTACTTTTTGACAGAAAGTAGACTTGACTTTTTGTCAACCTGACAACACAGGTTGTCGGGTTGACAGGTGTACCAGGACCGGTACTAGAAACATGCACCACAGTTTGAGAAACATTGGTCTAAAAAAATATCTCACAAATGGTTGAATTAATAATAATTAATTGATACTACATAAACTAAGGTTGGTCTTGCCCAAGAACACAATGGCAGTATTTTGTGTGTGGATGGATGTTTCTACCAATTTATCCTCCAGAAATAGTATTACCTTTGAAAGTGTGAAAATGTGTACTTTTTCTTTTTTTTTTTTATGTAGAAATTTCAACTTTTTAAAATGTGAAATCCTCATATTATTTTCCATCAGGACCGCAGAGACAGATCCTGGATAAGTCCTACTACCTGGGCCTCCTCAGGTATCCTCACATTCTCAGTAACACATCTGTTTCCTGGCAGTGGAGTGGTTAACACCTTCTGTCTTCTGTATGTTTTTAGGAGTAAGAGCAATGAGCTGACCACAGAGACCAGCAAACTGCACAAAGAGATCGAGAACTTCAACCAGGAGAACTCCGTCTACCTGTCCTATGAGAAAACGTCAGCATACACAACCATATTTAAGGACACATATTATGCACTATTGACCTTTTTAAGCTTTTAACAGTGTTCTATTGTTGTCTCCTCATCATAAACATACCAGGGGTTGTTTTCAGAGATTGACCAATATGGGTTTCTCATGGCTAATGCTGATACTGATTAGAATGTAGAATATTTTTAGGCTGATGTGTAGAGCCGATTTGGATTATTTTTACCAAATTACGCCATTTTAATTTACAATAAACTTACCTACAGACTCTTTTTTACCTCAAACCTTCAAGATAACCACTCAAAACATAATTACACAGTTAACTATTCACATTTAAGTGTTTAACTAAGGCTTTGTGTGTATTTGTTAAGCTGCAGATCAACCAAAAGAAAATACTGGTCGATACTGGAGATTTAAGGCCACTAGCCAATTTTATACTGGCATATCTTTAGTTGTTTTTGTTTCATTAATCTATTTATCCAGAGTCATCTTCTCGGAGAACTCAAAAATGCTCTGTTTGCAGTTTGCCAGTTTTATTGCATCATAGATAAAATTCCAGACTTCTCCTGCACAGTTTTGAAGTCCTTAAACCATCACGGGACTCATTCTGTGGTCAAATTGTGTTCATTATAAACACATGGCTCTGTTAACACCTAAATACCTCACTGGAAACAGAGGTGCAGTTTAAAAATAATATTTTCAAACTGTCGACTCTTTTTTAGACATATTTAAGTTACAAAAAGTGAAATACTTATCCCAAAGTAACCAAAAGCTTAAAAGGAATGGCTGCATCATATGTGTCCTTCAAAGATACACTGCGTAACATTTCTAGTGGAGGGTCTGTCACTGGTTTGTCTCCATGCATGGAAATGTTATTGCTTTGTCTAGAATGTTCTACAGTTCATCTTAAACCTGTCTATCACAAATGAGACAAGCAGTTTACAGCACTATACTACATTACAGTTCAGATCTGCGGAGAGTCGCCCCTGAAATTATTGTGTTTTTGAGCAATAGAAACACCTGTAATAAATAAACTCTAGATGGATGTTTAATGTCATATCATGGAACATTCCAGGCAAAGCAAAAACAGCTCTATGGAGACAAGTAGAGGACCCTCCACCAGAAAAGTTCTGCAGTTCACCTTTAAAATGAATTAGAATAATGATTTTCCGAGATGTAATTTGGATTGTGAATGTCATGTGTCGATTACAGAGCAGAGGGTCTTGCTGCGGAGATTAAAGATTTACAAGGACAGCTGGCAGATTATAACATGGTATTTTTATTTGACATTTTAAATCAATATTGTGTCATTTTGTAAACTTTAACAAACACTAAAACCATGTAAAATCTTTGTAAACACTGTAACTCATTTACGTTTTTTTGTTTTGTTTTTTTTCAGCTTGTGGACAAGCTGAACACCAACACAGACATGGAGGAGATGATCAATGATTATAATATTGTAAGTTCAAAAGTCACTTAAGAAACACTGCACTGTTAAAGGGACAGTACTTGATTTTTAACCGTGAGTGAGGGACATGTTTGAGTGTGACTGTAGTCCCGTCCACTTTTTCTTTTCTGTCACTTTAAATATGACACAGAAACGACTGTCTGCAGGGTAGCCGCGGGGTCTTAAAAGTCTTAAAAAGGTCTTAAATTTCATGTTTCTATGTCTTAAATTATATTGTCCAAGTCATATTTTTTCACAAAGGCCTTAAATTTCATTTGCCTATTTTTTTGTGTACTCAACCAGGCTGCAGTGTCTAATGCATGTCTAATTTTGAGTATGTGCAAATAATACATTGGTTTCTGGCGCCGGCAGCAATGATTAAACAGTCAGTAGAGTGGAAGAAGACGCTGGATGGATCATGGGGAAATGTTGGTTTATTCCACAGTGGCGCTTAAATTCTAGATGTAGTACGGGTAGTTGGTTGGTCATTATTATTAGAATTGGGTCTGTTGTTTTTCGCCCGCATAATGGCTGCGATTTTGGTCTTAATTTTCATTTAACCGGTCTTAAAAAGGTCTTAAAAAAGTCTTAAATTTGGGGTAGTCAAACCTGGGGATAGCCTGTGTCTGGGATAGTGTCAGGCAGTTATTTCCAGTTGTTCTCCATTCATACATTTCATTTATACATTATTGAGAATGCAACATGACAGAGAATCAACTGGCTGGAGTAGTGTTAAGTTGTGAAGTTGTCTCCCATGATTCTTAACAAACAGAGAGTGTGTAAATAGTACATGTGCATCCCAGTTATGATTTCAGTCTCCTAGATAAGCCGCTATACCAGTTCTGAGAAACCAGGATACTCTCACTGGGTTTTTCTGATAGTATCCAGGATACTGTGGCATGTAGACGCAGTATCCTGATTTCTCAAACCTGGAGCTGTGCTGAGCATGTGCGAACTCAAGTAACTAAAATGGTAGGAGCAGTAACCATATTTTCTGGGCTATTAGTCGCTCTGGATTATAAGACGCACGGTCATTAAATGGTCTATTTTCTAACTTTTTTCACAAATAAAGAGTACTGGACTTTAAAGGAAACACAACAGTTGGATGGGTCAGTGGGACTTTGTTTGGTGCATTCACAGTGACTCTGGGCTTTGTTCAGTTGTGGCGTGTAGGGAGGGTGCTGTCTGGGACTGCTGGATTGTCGGCGTGTTCGCAGTGACTCAGTTGTTCAGTTGTGTCTAGAAGTGGCACATTGCACTCGTTTTTTTGGTTCATTCCTCCGTTCCGTTCCTCGTCAGTGTGGAGTGATGAGTGTGTCTGTGGGGGTCGTTGTCTGCTCCGTGTGTGTTTGCGTGCGCTGCGGGTGGTGCGGCTTTGTAGTTTACTGAAGTCGTGCTGGGACGCCCGAGTGGAGTCGTGTATAGGGCTCTCTGGATTGTGGCGTGCAGTCATTTTTTAATGGGGTTAGAGGTTTAAGAGCGCGTCTAATAGCCCGGAAAATACGGACTCAACCTTCTACCAGGATTTTTAACTAATAATATTTTATACTTAATAACAAAATAAAGCAGTGCACTGTTTAATACAGCCAACTTTTAACATCAGGCTTACTTCTGTGCTTGCTCTTGAACGAAACTAACTCTGTGACACTGTGTTGTATATTTCAAATGTTAAAAACGTCTTTTCCACAGTCTTGTGTTCTTATTTGAATGTATGTCTTCTTTTCTGTTGTTAGAAACCTCTAAAAAGCCTTAACAAAGTTTCTACATGTTTAACTCTTTGCCATATCTGTGCAATAGTTACCATAGCAACCAGTCTAAATATCCAGGATACTCTAATGCCGCATGTACACAGGAATATGAATATCTTTGTTTCTCTGAGTGCCACATCTGTCAGATGACTGTCGGAACCAGGATAAGACTAATAAATAACGGGGATAGTTGTGTGCATGTAAACACACTCAGTGATTGGACTGGACTGGATGAAAATGTCAGTAGCTTCTCTGATATTACCCAACACTATGTTTCATAAAGTGCATAAATTATTTTTCAGTATTTTACACAAAAATACAATAAACACCGTTCTCTCTTATCTAGTCAGTTCAATGCATTTGTAAAATTGATTTTCCATGTTTTGTTTTGTTTTCAGTTGAAGGCTCAGAATGACCAGAAGGCTGAAAGCATTGACAAAATCTTCACAGAAAGGAGAGAGTAAGTCACTGTCAATTCATATTAAATGTAGCATACATCTTTTATTTATAAGATTAAATAGACTAGAGGCTGATTTCTGCACTAAAAGTCAGTTTGAGAATTGGAAATTGAGCAACAAATAAACAAACACTAAGGCCCAGTGGCAGTTTTTCGATCGCATCTGTTGGTAAGCTCGTTCTAATCACGTTTTAAAAAGTTTAAAAAGCCTCCACGGTCGATCTGTGTTCACTACTGCCCTGCCCCTCACTCCTCTCTCCTGATGTACGGATCTTCAAAGTATCCATCTTCGTCGTCCTCTTCGTCGCCCGTCCTCCTCCTCCTCCCGCCCTCCTCCTCAAAGTTGTAGGTCTGCTGTTGCCGGGACGTCTGGTGGAACACGGTGGTCCCGGTGGGCTCGGGGGTGGCGTCCTGCAGCCTGCGGTGGCGGTAGTTGTGGAAGAGTCTGTACCAGGAGGGGCCCTTGATGGCGCACAGGATCAGGGTGGCGGTGGTGAGGCCCAGGGCGACTACGCTGATGGTGAACTTCCATGAGTTACCGTGTGTGGCGGGCTGGTCTAGAGGAGAGACAGAGAGGGGTGTTTTGGTGAATGATTTGGGAAAATGTCAAATTATCTAAATCATTTTATCTAACAAGCACTGTGATTTTGAGTAGATTTGTGTTTTGATAATAGGATTCTCTTCAAATTTCACATTTTTAAGGTGCACTTTGTAACTTTTTGGTTGGTGGTCCGTCACCTGCATGTTTCTATGGATATGTCACCACTAGGACTAGGTATCATTAAGAAGTTACCGATACGATACATACCTCGATACAAAGGCCACAATACCATACATATCTCAATACAGTGAGCTTTTGATTCGAAACGATAAATATTTCAAATCAATTCAATACAGTTCAATTAAAAAAATAAAGGCTAAATCTTGTTCAAAGTGAATATGAAACACAAACATTTTATTCATCAAACCACTGAAAATGTCAAATGTGTCTCATAAACGAGTTTCCTTCCACTAAAAAAATAACAAAGCTGTTGCACTGTAACAAAATAATTCAGTAAAATATACAAAAAAATATTCTTGGAGATATGGTAAATGGTCACATTTTTCTATAGCGCTTTTCCACCTTCACGGCACTCAAAGCACTTTACAACAAGGAACCACTCACACATTCACACACACATTCACACACCAGAGACATATATCGATACAGCAGTCCCCGATATCGATACATCACATTAAACGATATGATACTTATATTTTTGCACACCCCTAGTCACCGCTCTGCCTGGAATGTTCCATGATATGACATTAAAGGAGCACTGTGTAACTTTTCTGGCAGAGGGTCCTCCATCTGCTTGTTTCCATGCTGATATTATTGCATTGGCTTGAATGTCCCACAGTATGGCATTAAACCTACTGTATATATTTTGCATTTATACAATGAATGGATGTGTATTTTTAAAAATACATAGAAAAACTTGTATTCTTACTGTGAGCGAGATTGCCTCACCACAGATCTAACCTGTAACTTGATGACCTGTTAGTCTCATCTGCTTGTCTCTGTATAGACACGTTTAATGCCATACTGTGGAACTTTCAAAGCAAAACAACAGAATAGTCCATGGAGTTCAGGTTGTGGGGTTACATGGTGCTGTTCCGACATGCCGCCTTTTAGACATTGACATCTAATTGTCAGAGTAGTGGCATAAACATTATTTTTCAAGCGTCCTCATGACTTTTTTTTTTACTATTTATTTTACTATTTTTCAAACATTCCACTTTTCTGACATGAATAATACAAATGTGATAGCACTCCCATATCTGATAAGATGCTTGGGCCGGTGTAAAGCTCTTGATCAGAGAATACTTGGGCCACAGAGGAGATCAGACAGTGGGAAAATGTCCTAACTGATCGCCGTGGGAAACTGTCATGCATTTTAAAAAAAGAGCATAGTTCAGCCTTCAGGAAAATATCAAATCTAAAACGGAGGCTGCATGGCCCTTTGTGCTTCATTCATTTCTGCAGAGAAGACCACACATGACGTGTCAGAATAGCAATACCAAAGAGTGTTTGAAAAACTGGCGCGTCTAAATAGAGGCACGTCATAACGAAGGGATGTCACAATAGGTGGCGGACCCCATGTTGCGGGCCCTTCACCTGTAAAGTTAGATAGTGCTCCTTTAAACAGCTCTACCTTACATGTATTAAATTATTGTGTTTTAAAAGCTCAAATAATCCCTAGAAAAACAAGCATCCCGGGTGTGAGTGGAGTCGCCTCTCCACAGATTTGACCTGTGACTTGGTCTGGTTTGGTCTCCATGAAGGTTTAATACCATACTGTGAAACATTCCAGACTAAAAAAATGACAATATGACAAACAAATACAAGAATCACATTTCAGCAGAGGTGGTAGGGTAGCCAAAAATTGTACTTAAGATAATATGACTCAAGTGAAAGTACGTAAGAGTAAAAAAGTATTTGGGAAAAGTACTACTCAAGTAAGCGTAACTGTCAAGATGTAACATTTTTGTAATAATTTGAAGTTGGATGGACGAAACATGAAATAATAATAAGAAGAAAAATCTGATATTTTCAAAGGATAGACTAAAAAACAGAATCATATCTGAAGGAGCTGTGTCTGGCACTTCCGTGAAACTCTTGACAATGATCCTTTTTCGGACAACTGAGTAAAATTGTTTTATTTAATCGATACCTCCATCTATTTGACATGCTTTTTTATTATTTTATTGTCCATCAGTTTGTCCGTTGTTGTGCTCTTACCTTTCTCCAGGCTTTTGTTGAGCTGTGGGGTCGGTGCAGACTTCAGACGGGGGGGTGTGGTTGGAGAGGGGGGCTTGGTTGTGGTTGTAGAACACTTGGCTAAAGCTTCGTTGAGGGACAGTCCCAGCATGTTTTGTGGAGCGGCACACGAGGCATTGGAGGCTGTAAAGACCAAGAGAACAAACTTACAGTTGCAATAGAGGAAATTTAAACATCTGCTGCTTATAGTTATGCTTTATATTGATTTGGTGAAGCTTTGGTGAAGAGACTGAATACTGAACTATGAACCCTTAACTAAGACAAGAATTTCATGCATTTTCCAGTTTGCTAAGTTCATGTGTTCAAACGGTGATTTTGGTTGTGTTAAATGTTGCTGCCCTGGTGATAGTGAGTTTTGTGAAGAAGAATGACAGTAGATATGTGTGTATTACCAATGCTGAGGAGTTCACATGAACAGTTCCAGGGGTTTCCGTCGACATTCATCACCTGTAAAAAATAGAGGTGTATTGTAAAATTCTGATTTGTCATAATTCTTTATATGTGCTAAAATGGTTCACACATGATGAGTGAAATTTCTGTGGTTTTGTCATATTAAGTAACACCAGCCAACACAGATTTCTGGATTTTGAACAGCTTTTCTGTGACTTTGCATGACTTATAACAGGCAGAAACTTATTAAGCTAAGTGGAAGCCCAAAATTACTAAGGAATTCATTTTTATTGCAGCACTGTTACCACACACTTTCAGACAGTTTTTTTTTTTTTTTACTACTAGTCATTAACAAAGGTGGTAGAGTAAAATTACTTCAAAATAATATTTATTATTAATATTTGGAAAAACAAATACTTTATTAAGAGTAACTTGAAGAGTAACTGTTTGGTATTCTATAATTTGAAGTTAATGTAATTGGAAGCAAAAACATGAAATAATGCACAATTATTTTATAAGGACAGACATGAAAATGAAGACAAACTAAATTATATGTGAAGGACCAGTGCAAGAAACACAAAGTGTTCAAATAATTTCAGACTGTCACATAAAGCTTTTGTCACTTTAGATTACTCACAGTGGGAAGAGGAACTACAATTTTTACTCAAGTAAGAGTACTGTTACTTCAATTAATATATTACTCAAGTAGGAGTAAAGGTATGTTTCTTGAAAAGTACTCAAGTAAAGTAAATGTAACACCTCTGAGTACACCTCTAGTCATGAATTAGTGTTTTATGAATAACTTGCTGCAACAAAATAAATTCACAGTGCAAAACGCAGCTACACTGTTGTATGATGTACTGTGTTGTGTAAATGTCCACACTTCGGCTGATAGTACAGCCCAGCTCTGGACTGATGTTTGGCAAGCATAGTTTATTTACAGTCAAATTTGTTTACATAAGGACTAGACTACTAGTATGTGAAGCTCGTACCTCTAGATTCTTGAGTGTGTTGAGCAGCTGCTTTGGAACACTTGACAGAGAGTTGTTGGCTAAGTCGAGTTCAGTTAAAGCCTCCAGTCCAGTGAAGGCCTCTGGGTCCAGGCTGAAACCAAACATGAACACATCACTATCACGTAAAACCTTAAACTTTACTAGTATAATGGCTATAATATATTAGGTTGGTTGTCAGCACCAAATGGAGGAGTGGCAGGGTCTGGTGGACTACGGGAGAAAGTGGGAGGACGAGGTTCTGTTTAGTTTAGTTTATTTATTTAATGAGACAGGGACAGTGCACAATCGAGATGAACCTGAACAGGAGAGATGCTTTGTACCAGATTGTAGTACTAGAGTTCATGTCCACTTGTCGTCTTTGGGCAGGTTGATGTTATAGTTCATAAAATCAAATATCTTTATTATGACCGGAGCTTCAGAACAATTCTGTATCTTCATTCACACCCAGTTCTCTCAGCATCTTAAAAACATCATCCTTTATCAAAATCATCATACAATTCATTCACTCCAGAACATCACACTCTCCAGACATGCATCAGTCCACATTATGCGAGCAGGTTTGGTTTGAAAGGAGCCATTGTTTCCCCAGGTGTGAGAAAGTGCTGTAGTTTGTACATGTGATCAACTGTGTTTTTAACATGTTCCGCTGACAAACGGTTGTGCATGAAGGCTGAGTTTACAGATCCTACGTTTGTGGATCCTGCTCTTGCCGTGCACAGTGGATCGAGTGGCTTAGAAGGTGGTTTCAGAGCTCAGGGAAACAAACTATTTTAGCAGAGAAGCAGCAGAATCATGAATGATCTTATACAGCAGACAAATATTTGCGTACATTATCAGGTTTTTAAAACTTAGAATGCTGTGTTTCACAAGAATATGACGGATAATATGATGGTGGAATAGAGGACTTGTCTTGTCATGAGTCCTGAGAGAGCTTTTATATAATGATTCTAGAGGCCTCAGAGCTGATTTACAAGGCGGCGACCAACTTGTTATGCAGTCTGGAGTCTAAAGGCACCTCTGCCACCAGGTGTTTGTACCAGAACACTCGGCTGTAATAAAGGCAGTTCTGTGTGCTGTCATGTAGTACTTGAAATTGCAGAATTCACACATTTTGGCAGTTTTTGAACATAAAACTGCACATATGCCTAATTTGCATTATTTCTTTTTGGCAAAAATCACCAGGAACAGTAGACAATGCTGCTAAAACACCAAAAAAGTGGATTGCAATATAAAGATTTTTTTTGTGATTTTCTCTCTATTTGGAGGTAAATGAACACCTTAGCATTTACATTTTGTTAATTTTGTTTTTATTTATAATTTTATAACATGTCCACTGTAATAAACACCAGGGACATTTTGGTGCTAAATCCATGTGAAGTTAACAACCTGACAAAAACAACTTTTTTGATGACAAACATCTCTGACAAGCTTCTACAGTCGCCTGAAAAAAGTTTTTAGACTCTCTTTTAATTTATTTTTTTTTTAAATCATAGTGCTGCCACATACTAGCTCCTATTGAGTTAATTATTTATCCTGGACATGACAGTACCCTATAATTCCCCAGCCAGATTTAGGCAGAGGAACCTAGTCCCCCGATTAAGAGTTGATCTTAAAACACTTAAAAGACAGACTGGTCAATGTCCACTATAAAGGACACACATTAATGGCCTGGGTCTCAGGATGATACATAATTTAAACATAATCTGCATCCTGTTTACCTGCTGATTTTGTTCGCAGACAGAGAAAGCACTTTGAGGCGTGGCATTCCGCTGAAATACTTCGCCTTTATCTCCATCACTGTGTTGTTGTCCAGGTAGAGTTGAGTCAGAGCGCTGTAGCTAACCAAATGTAACTGGTCAGACTCTTTCAGGCTGATCTGGTTTCCGTTCAGGATCAGGGTGGTCACTGTGCAGTTCTTCTCACACTGAGGGATGACCTGGAGCTTTCTGTTGCTTAGATTTTTTACCTATAGGGAGTTAAGGGGAGTTGATCAAAGTTCACACTGATTTATAGAAATAATGTGTCCTACCGCTCCATGACTTCCCACCTCCTCTGCTGTGTTTGCATCTTGAATATTTAATACAATTCCAACAGCGAGGAGGATCCAGAGGAGACTGCGGCTCGGTTGCGCCATGATCCAAATCTGAAAGGACAGTTTAAGAAGTCTAGTGTTTATATTTGCATGGATTTCAGAGTGAAAAAAACTGTCTAACCAGAAACTTCACAGCTGATTTCTAACTTTCTTTTTGTTCCTTATTCATCAAACAAGAGATCCATGCATGTTTGAGTAATCTAGTGATCTCTCCTGGCACTATTCAAACCCTCCTTATGTTTAGCTGTAAGATTTTGTCCAAAGCACCGCCTGCAAGCCTACGTCACCCACGCTCCCACACGACAATTCTCCATAAATATACAAAAACATGATTCAAAACTGTGCTCAACAACTTCACAAACCTGATGCAATGTGCAGTAGTTTTATTAGCTGATTGTGACGTGATAGTGCTCTGAATGGGGAGTAACTTTGCACGGGGAGCAAAGGGAGGGAGTCTCAAACCGTCAAAAACAAAATGAAACTTATAAAACATGTTAATACATTGTTTTTGTCAAATACAGCCTTTTTAAAACAACATAACATGATGATCTAAATATGTTATGTGTTACAGTTAATACCCCATAGAAGTTAAATACCTTCTCTTTAATCACAAATTGAGTCAAATATTTAAATAATGTTGTAATAGTTTGTCCATACCATAGGATTATATCTGACTAACTATCAGTCACCACTAACGATACCCTAACTTCTTACCTCAACCTCACTTGTATACTTTCTGTCACAGTTATAACCATAAAACTATGTTTATACTTTGTAACTTTAAAAGGCCTTTATGACTCTATTTTCTGATCTATGTTGTAATGTTTTATCACCACAAAAGTATTGCATTTCCTTCGTATCAATTTTTTTCATTATTTATTTAAACTCAAAATTGAAAACTGAAAAAACGAATCGTTATCAGTTCTTTTCATTTTGGTTTTTGAAACAAATAATGAAGAAAATAGCTGTTTTTTTTTTTTTGTTTGTTTTCTTATTTTTGGTTTTATTTTGAAAAACAAATGAACAAATGAGACACGGATTCAGAAATTCACTACGCGCCAGCAAACAGCAATCATCTTTGAGAGAGCAAAAATGAATCTCGCACAAGCAGAAATCAACTTCAAGAGAGCAGAAATGAACCTCTCATGAGCACAAATCAACTTCAAGAGAGCACAAATCAACTTCGAGAGCGCAGAAATTAATCTTGCATGAGCAGAATCAACTTCGAGAGAGCTTGTTGTCTTTTCAAGGGTGGGTCTGTCCCCCGGTGGTTGTTTTGCGTGCAGATCACAGATTTCTTCTTGCGCGTAGAGATGCTTTGCTTGCTCGCAGTTAATATCTACGCGTGTGAAATAATATAATAACGCCCGAACGCATCTTTTATCGTGGGTGTGTATTATGGGACTATTTTGATGCCTTACAAACAAACCTTTTGTTTCATTCAATCATGTTTAACACACAAACCCTCCAGATTTAGAGTCACTCTGTTCCACCTTGTCATGTCATGTGGCAATACAGGAAGTACTCACTGTGTTTTTAAACTCTCTTCACCTTGATTCCAGCCCTCAAATTTCTAATCCCGACTAAACAAAAGGTAAAACTTAGCTGTTAACTTGAAAACTACATCTTCATGACATCACAGGGTGGAACAGAGTGTTGTGAGGTTTGGAGATGTAAACAGACTAATAATAAAGAGTCACTCAAACATGTGTGAATGAAACAAAACACAACTCCAGGTCTGTTTTTGAGGAGGTAACAACATTATAACATGACTTAAAACTCACAAGAATCTATTCTGTGTAATATTCTGTAATCTGTTTTTAACATGAGAAGTGTTGTCGCTAAAAAAAAAAGAGGAAATTGTAAATCATGTCCATTGTTTTCAGCAGATGGACCTGGAAGTGTCATCACAACTCTATAGATGATATATTAGCCTGTATATGTGCGCTTATTCTGTTTTAAACCAATGTGTATGTACTGTATACTTAACGAAACCCTTCCCCCCGTGAATACTTATCGTGGAATATCTTTAATGCTACTGTCAAGGCTAAGAAGGCTGTAAACTTGTATTATTAAAATTAACTCAGTCGACATTTGACATATATACTGTGACACTGGTTTTGTATGGTTTTGAAACTTTTTTGAATATATATGTTGTTAGAATTACAATGCAAAACAAAGCAAAAACCAATATATGTTGTTATAATTACAATATTAAACATGAGTTAGTGTTAAATTTATGTTCTCTTACCGTTTCGAGATTTGAGGTAGCAGAAGATTACATGTCTGTGAGTCTGAAGGAGCGGTAAAAGAACTTTGGCCCTGTGTAAAACTGGATCCGTCTCTTACTGTTGCAGAGTTAGTTAAACATTCACTGTACCTGAAGGATATCCGTGCAAATCACAGCCGGATGTGTCACGGTGACCAATCACAAGATCACATTTTGTCACGTCATTTAAAAACGAACCTGATTTGTGGCTAAAGGTGTGCTCATGTTATTACTTGTTTTAGACTTTTAGACAAACTTTATTGATCCACAAGGAAAACTATTTGAACACAGTAGCTCAATCATCACAATGTAATATAATAACAAAAATAGTAAACGTAAAACTAAAAATATAAATGGTAATAATAAGTTCTAAATAAGTAGCAAAAAAGAGCAAAAGACGGGTGTGAAATAAGATATAATTATATAAATATAAATGTACAAATCAAAATAAAATGGAAAAATAAGTAATAAAATACAAAATCTCAGCTTTATACAAGAGGTCATAGGAAAACAGTGCAACACTGATATGATGATTGACAGGACATAGGCTTATCTGTTACATAAAGGTGTATTGAATTTAGAATTGATTTAGAAATGATTTGATTTTGTATTGTATAGTTCACTAATATTACAGATATTTTAGCACTTTCTTTCACAATTTGACACTATCTTTCTGATTATTTTTACTTTTGTTTTTTCCATATAAAGATGATATACCATAAATATTATTTTTTTTGTATATTATTTTCAAATGTAATATAGTTTAGTTATATCATTATCTTTCTAAAATAATTTAAAAATTATTTCAACATTTAAACATTTATTCTCAGATAATTAGGACTGATATTGATACTGATATTTTTCAGCTGATGTTCCCTGGAGGTTTGAAGCTAACAGTAGGCATGCTCTGTCTGAGGCTTTATTAGACTTTTAATCTGAGATTTTATCCATTTTAACACAATCTGACTAGAAAGAGTTGGTTTAATTGGAACTACAGCAGATGAGCTGATTTGTGCTGTTAAACAAGTCTCTCACACATAAAATTACAGCCTCAAACTAGCCAGCATTAACTAACAGTTTTTCAGTGAGTCACTGTCACTTTTAGTTGAAAATCAAACTCCTAAACAGAACCATGAACACTCAGACTGATCACAGGCTCCTGAAAATGTGCCCTTTAATCACTGTTGTATTTTTCAGGTGATCTAAAAACCGATTTGACTCTGTTTGCTGACGTGTGCATTGTATCATCATGGGAACTACTGAACATTCCTCCATAGACGTACAGTCCCTGACAAAAGTCTTGTCGCTTATCCATTTTGTTGAAACAAAAGCTTATAACCTGACTTTAAATTAATTGATTGGTTTTAGAAATGCCTCATATGAAAGCTAAAACCCTCCAAATTATGCTCAATAAACTAAAATAAATTTGCTTCACTGAAGAAAGACTGATCATTTAATGAACACAGAAAGATCAGATTTTGGCAAGACAAAAGTTTTGTCGCCTACAGAAAATTTAACAAATAATTTACTTCAAATACAAAAATATGTTGCATAACATCAGTGAATGAAGTAGTGGTGCTGTGAGATCCAGATTTAATATCTTGTATGACTTTCATGAGCTTGAAGGACACATCCATGTGGTTCGACAATGATTCATACAATTTGTTGAAGTCATCAGGAATAGCAAAGAAAGCGTCTTACATGGCTCCCAGAGTTCATCAAGATTCTTTGGTTTTGTCTTCCATGCTTCCTCTTTCATTCTACCCCAGACCTGCTCAATGATGTTCATGTCTGGTGACTGGGCTGGCCAGTCCTGGAGCACCTTGATCTTCTTCGCCTTGAGAAACTTTGATGTAGAGATAGAAGTATGTGATGGAGCACCATCCTGCTGCAAAATTTGACCCCTTTTATGGTTGGGAATGTAAGAGGAGCTAATACTTCTTGATATTTTAGGTTATTGATATTTGACTTCCACCCTGCAAATGTCTCACACCCCCAGACTGGATGTAACCCCAGACCATGATTTTTCCACCACCAAACTTAACTGTTTTCTGGGTGAATCTTGGATCCATGTGGCTCCAGTAGGTCTCCTGCAATATTTGCGGCGGCTGTGATGTAATTCAACCAAGGATTCATCTGAGAAATCCACCTTCTGCCACTTTTCCAGTGTCCATCCTTTTAGCAGGCTGTGGGCCTTGGCAAATGCCACACGGTTTTTTAATTGCCTTTTGTTTAGTGCTGGTTTCTGTGCACTGATTCGACCATGGAGGCCATTTCCAGACAGAATTCTACAAACTGTTGTGGTTGACACAGGGACTTGAGGTGACCAGGCCTGGTGGAGTCTGCTGCAGTGGAAAAGGGGCCTTGGATTTTTGAATCAACAAACTGTCCTCTCGAGCAGTTGTCTTGCGGGGTCTGCCGGACCTGGGCTTGTCAAAAACATCTCCAGTCATTTCAGATCTTTTTCTTATTCTTTGTACTTGACACTGAGACACATTGAAGGTGTCACCACCTCAGCAGTGGATCTGGTCTTCAGCCTCTTGATAATTAACGCTTTGGTCTCAGGGTGGATCTTAGGCATGTTGTCAGAGGTCAAGTTGCAGTTGATGTGAAGGTCTGGTGTGCTGGGTTCTTTTTATACACACCCACTAATTGATTCATCAGTAACTGATCACAGATGAGGCTGTAATCTAGGATTGGGTGCATCATATGACAAGACCACAAGACTTTTGTCTTGTCAAAATCTGACCTTTCTGTGTTCATTAAATGACCAATCTTTCCTCAGTGAAGCAAATTTATTTTAGTTTATTGAGCATAATTTGGGAGGGTTTTAGCTTCATATGAGGCATTTCTAAAACCAATCAATTAATTTAAAGTCAGGTTATAAGCTTTTGTTTCTACAAAATGGATAAGCAACAAGACTTTTGTCAGGGACTGTACATGTAGAACACCCCCAGTATGATGTCACTGCAAAGTATCAATATCTACATTTTATATTTTAAAATTCCACAGTAGTATGGACTGGTGACGTTCAGGTTGATGGGTGTACTCTTTAACCTCTAATCCTGTTGTAGTTTAGCATTTGTTATGAGAAATGGACAAATCCCAGCATTTCATATTGTAAAATTTACAGTAACACAGCCAGGCAACACTAATAAAAATTGAGGTTTTCTGTGGTCCACCGCATCAGAACCAGGCCTAAAACAGAATATTCCAGATCTAAATTGGGCTCAGTAGCTGGGAGTTCAGACTGTCCAAACACAGTAACTAACTAATCATAACTTGTTTCAGTATAGTTAGCTCCTCCCTTCAGACAGATTTGAGGCATTTTATTAAATTTTTTTTTAACTTGCATTCAGCTAGTTTACTTTACTCAACTTAATGATTGTGGTAAAGTAACAGTGACGTATTATTGCTAAGAGTCCAGCTCCATTTCCCAGTCTGTGCTGCTTCCCCTTTTGCTTCCTCCCTGTTTTTCCTACAGCTGCCACTCATTCCCTGATCCTCCCAGATCGTGTCTATATCCTCCCTCTTTTCTTTCAGTTTGTGCTCGATTACATCTGTTCACCTGTTTTGTTTCTTCCAGTATCTATTGAGCCCTAAGTGCAGGGGCATTGGTTGAGTTGACATGGAATGACCGAGCTTTATTATTTTATTGTTACACATGTGACGATGTGTTTGAACTTAAGATGAACAGAAGTTTTGCTAAGTTTTTTTCAAAGACTAATAAATATTCACATCCTTGTACCTGATGCAGATCTAAATGGCATTACTGTAGAATAGAGCCTGTTTTTACCTGTACTAACTTGTGTATAGAAGTGACATTTGCTCAGTTCAGTGCAATCGTTTTCCATAGTTTTACCAAGTAAGATGAAGTTACTCTTAAAGTAAAGGTTACTACATATTTCAGATTTGAGGAACTGACTGATTCATTGGCGCAGCTTCACAACATGATTCTATAATTGAAAACTAAAGTTCACTTTACTTACTGTGCCTCGTTACATGAAAGAGGAATTTACTGAACACCACTCAGCTTTAGATTCACACTCCACTTAAGTCAGATTTTTCAAGGCAATCAGTTTCCTAGATTTGTTCAAGTAAGGTCGACTTATTAGATTTTACAGTGTAGACTATATATATATAAATGGACATAACTAACCCGCTATTCACCGTGTTCCAAATAGGAACTGAACATGGACAGGCTTCTGGCTCCATTGATTGTTTTCAATTGACTTTATATTGAAAAATTGTCCCCTCTTCTACTAGTTTTTTAAATGCTGCAGTGAGTGTGATTATTTTGGTTTTAAAACGTTCATATTCATACTCACTATACATGATCCTGGTGTTTTTATTTTGCAAATTTGTATGTAAATCAGTTCCTAATGTGAATTCGGCTTCAAATTTGCTCCTATAATTGCAAGCCTCGGTGAGCTTCATTTGACTGGAGCCCAACGCTATGGGTGACGACATGACCAAAAACAGGATACAATGGATTATAAATAAACCAGATGCTAGAACTGTAGAGGATCTTGAGTACCACTGGAAGTAGCTCACTGACCACCAGTAGTAAAAGTACCATGGTTTGATCAATATACTCAAAATGATCAAAGTTATCAAAGTGTCCTGTGTCTGTTAAATATCATCACACTGAGTTGTGTTGTGTGTTGTGTGTTGTGTGTTGTGTGTTGTGTGTTGCGTGCAGGAGGGAGGAAGCGATTCGGGCCATAGAGGAGAACATCCGCAGAGAGAGGAGAGTGGCAGAGGAGATGGTCCAGTCTATGCCCTCAGCCAAACAGGAGAAGTACTACACCATGACGGCTAACAACGAGGAGCTGCTGCAGGTCACATTCTGCTCTGTCACAAAGACAATGTTCTCAGTCTCAAAGTACTTTATATTGTTGTCATAATACTACATTCTGAAACCTGAGCAGATACTAAGGAATAGACATGATTAGTGGTGTATACATATATCGTAACGTGATGATACAGTATCAGTATTGTGGGCTGCTGTATCGATATATCACCAAAAGTATTTTTAGGTTTATTTTAATAAATTATTTTGTGTTTTAGAATTGTGCTGACATTTTCAATGTTTTGATGAGGGCTGGGTATCATTCAGAAGCTGCCGATACGATACATACCTCGATACGTAGGCCACGATACAATACATATCTTGATACAGTGAACTTTAGATTTGATACAGTATATTTCAAATCAATTTGATTCTGTGTGTGTAATCCTTCAGTGGTCCAGTAGATTCACAGTGTCCATGTGTGTTTACTAGTCTATGTGCTCTTATACCTGCTCTGATACAGCTCAATATCATTCTAAAGACATTCAGGAAGAGTTCATTTCTGTCCTGTGAATGGGACCTTTTTAGTATCGAACCCAGTCAAATGAGAATGTAGCTTCAGTACTTTTGACAATCCTGGTACTTTTGTTTGTTTCTAACCCAAATCATCCTGACATCTGATTTTTCTGTTCCACAGGAGCTGGCTGTTCTTCAGGAGGAGCTCGACGTTCTTCTGACCAGGAAGGAGGACTATGACATTGTAAGTCACTCCAAAGAATCCAGCAGTGAAACAATCACAAAATTATAGCCGCAAGCGGCAATGATCGGTCCTTGCGTGCACCTATGCCAAGCCCTGCAAACGCCGCATCCCACAAATATCACTCCCGTAAACGCCACGCCAGGCAAACACCACGCCTGGCAAAATGTTGCACCACGCACTAACCCTAATAGGGTGAAGACCATGGACTTGAATGGTTAAAGTCCTCAACCAAAACCAAACCGGTCGGGACATTGTTGAAGGTTAATGAAGAGTCTGGTGGGTCAGGGTTGGAGTCAGGTGGGAGTCAGATGCAGCACGCTGAGTGATGAAGGTGTATGGAGTTTAGAAACACAGTAAAGCAACAATAACCTAACCCTGCCATTTTAAACAATTTTTGCATGTGTTTATTTAAAAAACAAAAATCCAAGATGATGGACTTCCAGTTTGTAAAGGGGCGTGGTCACAGTATACACTTTTGTTCCTATTGGTATTATGCGTTTGACTTCCAAATTTGGTTTGGCTACGCCAGAGTTTGTGTAAGGACGTCACATTGGCAAGGACAGAATTTGCACCCACTTTTCTTACATCAGTCTGTTTAGGGTCGGGGTGTGAACCCACAAATAAAATTTGAGTGAAATCGGCCAAAGTTTGTGCGATTTGGCGATTTTACCATTGGAATAACATGGAAAGTTTATGTCATCACTATGGCAAAATAAAAAATAAATTGGATAACTTTAGATGCCCCACTTCTCTAGATGATGTACGGTGATTTTCAGCCCTGTGGGTGAAGAGGAGTGTGTTCAAATGCAATGTCAGCGAAAATACTGATTCAGCATTTAGACAATTTAATTCCAAGATGGCCGCCTTCTGGTTTGTCAGGGGGTGTGGCCATAATACTTCACATGACAAATGTGTGTACCAAATTTCGTGGCTCTATGACAAAGCTGACCAGAATGTCTCCCATAGGCACAATGTATTTTGAGTTTTCCTGGTGACGCAGTGTCACCATTTTTTTATTCCCATGCATGTAATCTATCAAATTTTTTGTCTGAATTTTGGGCAAAGTTTGGTGAGGTTTTGAACGTGTTTAGGGGGTCAAATTAGAGTTCAAAGAGCAAAAGAATAATAAAAGTAAAATAATAATATTTTGAGCAAAAACAATATATCTGTAAACATGGGAACAGCATATTATTCATTTTTGGAAAGCTCTCAACCTTCCCCACATCACCGTTGGGTCACTGGTGAGTGACGGGTGCATTTTCACCATCTCATCGGGGTCGCCCTTTGACCTCCCATTGACTTCCATTCATTTTAGCAGTAGTAAATATGGCTCAGGCCTTGGGCGTGGGTTACTGAGATACTGCTGTTCATGCCGGGGGCGACCGAGAGGACGAAGCTGCATGACGCCCTCTCACATTCGCCCATGCGCTCATTGTTGCCCATGTGCTTGTCGTAGCGAATGCATTAGTTACCACCCAGAGATGCAAGATTAATTGCAAACTGAAGGGAAATGATCAGCAAATCTCAAAGGCTGCAGTTTTTGAAGTACCATGATTTCCTCCACAAACAACAAAATCTCCTGTCTTATTCTACATAAAAGCTGCTGAGCCTGGAGTTTAAATGTTTAATGTTCAAGAGATTCTTGAATTAGTCTGTCAGTTCTTTTTTTTGGGCAGTTCTCCTTAATGCCATTAAAATATGAACTTTCAACACAGTCCTATTACTGGTGCATAAAGCCAAATCTATTATAGTGCTTTTCTGAAAAATTACAATTGGATATTTGTTTACAAAATCATTGAGCTGCACTGGCAGCACAGCAGTTTTTTGAGATGTGACTGTACTTTGTGTGTAGGAGCTGTCCCAGTCACAGACCAAGCAGGAGGTGGTGCGTCTCCACCAGACCCTGTCCTCTCTGGAGCAGAAGAGAGACGCCATGGAGGCCGAGCAGAAGAACATGGGCTCACCACAGGAGGAGAGGGACAAGCTCTTCAAACAGGTACACAGGTTTACAGCTCACAACTACTACTACAAGGATAAGGAGGAGGAAAGTCAGGAGAGCTTGTAGCACTATATTTAAAGCCATTTTTAAACACATTCTAACAGTTATATGCATGATAAATGCCCTTTTTGCTCGGACAAATCTTATGTTAAAGGCCTTTTATCCATTTGTTTATTGCCCTTGTTTTTGAGTGAAATGTGTCCTGCCCCAGTGCAGATATATAAGCACATATATAAGTATAAGCAGCTCTTTAGGTCTGCTGCGTACACTGTAAAATCTAATAAGTTAACCTTACTTGAAAAAAAACTAGACCGATTGCCTTGATAAATCTGACTGAAGTGGAGTGTGAATCTAAAGCTAAACTTACAAGTAATTCCTCAGTGTAGTGTTCAGTAAATTCCTCTTTCATGTAACGAGGCACAGTAAGTGAAATGAACTTCAGTTTTCATTCATAGAACTCATGTTGTGAAGCTGTGACAATGAATCAGTCAGTGCCTCAAATCTGAAATATGTAATAACCTTTACTATAAGAGTAAGTTCATTGGTAAAACCAACTATTTTAATTTATATTTATTAACAAGCAAAAACTTGTATTCATCTTAAGTTCAAACACATGGTAACATGTGTAACAATAAAATAATAAACCTCAGTCATTCCATGTCAACTCAACCAAACCTTACTGACTTACTGAACGAACAGAGAGAGGATATAAAGACATCCTGGGAGGATCAGGGAATGAGTACGTCACTGTTGGACTTACTCGTCTCATTCAAGTCTAAATGGCAATTAATGTGATTTTTTCACACAAAGTAACTGTTACTTTACCACAATCATTAAGATCCACTAATTCGTAGCTGTGAGTAAAGTAAATGAGCTGAATGCAAGTGAACCCTCGTGTTAGATTTGACAGTGTACGTTCTAATTATGAAGTGTTTTATTAAGTGCATGTTAGAAAGCTTGTTGCTACACGTCATAGTCTGTGTGCATGGGTCAGTGCAGGCAGACCTTTGACTAGTCAAAACCTATGTAGAGCTTGGACTCCGAGGCGCACGTATAGACTTTATCTTGGCTGAAAGAAACCAGAATGACACCTTTGCTGACTTTGAATCCATAACAGACCGGCTACTAGATAAAATGGTTCAGTACATCCAGATTCCAGATCTCTAGTAAATGATTAGGATGCTCTGAATGCATAAAGTAAGAAGAACTTTGGAGCACAGCAAACAAGCAATGTTTTTAAGACAGTACCTTTCAGAGATAGAGCAGGACTTCCTTTTATAAGTAGTTGTATTGTTTTGAAATAGTTTTGTCAGTGAATATACTTCAGTAAAATCTTTCACTTCAAATATAAAATCCATACATGAACTGAAAACATCAGAATAGATTTATTTAAAACAATATTTCTCTTATATAGTTTGCATTTACAGTTGTTTTTATTGCTAAAATACCTCAAAAACATTCTGACTGTGAGTGGAGTTGACCTTTCACAGATCTCATTTGTATCTTGACCTGATTGCATCACCTTTTTGATGCTATACCATCGGAAAAGTTACATAGAGCACCTTTAATAACTGTATCAGACTAGTTGATTTTTCAGTTATTTTGTTTAACTGATGAGGAAATGTTTTATTGAAGGTGAAGGAGGACAACCAGGAAATAGCCAGCATGGAGCGACAGTATGTACTTTTCCATACTTAATGGTTGTTTCTAAATGAAAGAGTGTTTGTGAGTTGTGTTTCCTGATGTGTTCAGACTGGCAGAGATCAGAGAGAGGACGAGACAGATCACAGAGGAGCTCAGGCAGATGGAGCAGGACTCTGAGGACGCACAAGGTATGGAAATAAATTATTAGTATTAGTAGTATTTTTTAACAAAATAAAAATGTAAAATGTAAATGATCTTTTTCTTGAAGGGGAAAGTCGGCAGCGATATAAAGAGCTGAAGAAAAAAGAAGAGGAGCTGGACAGTGAGTACCAGTGATGGTTGTTGTGTGATGTTATAATAGGAGGCAGACGTGTAACTGTTATGGCAGATGGTTCTTTTGGGACTTACTCTTAGTTGAAACCAGGGCCAGAGCCTAAGCAATCAGAATACAACAAGAACTAAATCAAGATCAGGTCAGAAAATGACACAGAGATCCAGTTGTATGCAGTTGTGCTTTCTTTATCCTTCAAATGACTACTGAACGTCTTCATATGAATAAAAGTTAAAACATAATGAAACGGCTTGTAAATAATCTTTTTACATTCAGTTAAAGGCCCAACCAGGATATCAGCTAAACCAATATCATAATTCAATCCATCCATCTACAGAACTGTCACTGGTGTTGGTGGTGACATGTCGTACATCAGCTGTTGTAACTTCCTGTGGGCGTGGTCAGCCTGATGGATCTGGAAGGCCGCTCTGACTGGCCACGCCCCCTGCCACTGGTAGCCTCTGGAGGAGGATGTCCCAGGTGTGTGAGAGGAGGATTCATCATCACGGATAATGCTGTACGTGCCCCTTTTCCTGATTTCAGTGGCTTTCCTGACCCAACATATGAACTTGTTCTCCAAAAAGTTCATATGTTGGATCACCAGGCGACAGCTGTGGTGATTCTGAGCGACCTACCTGGTTCATCAGGCTGACCACCCCCACAGGAAGTAACAACAGCTGATAAACAGCACGTCACCACCAACACCGGTGACAGTTCTGAAGATGGCTCACAGCTATCATGTCAACTAAGTACATACACCTTGTGCTGTATTGTCCTTAAAAAGAGCCCAAAAAGTTAAACCGATATCATGTAAATGAAACCCAATCCAGCCAATTTGTCACCATCAGTACCAATATTCAATACCAGTATCCGTATCAGTGCATCCCATTTATAAAGTGATATTTCTATACTTTAGTAGTTCATTATACAGTTCATTTACATTTTGTGCCAGACTTGTTCTATAACCAAGACATTTACAGATTTACAAGTTTAAGGGTATTTCTGAGGGACTGCCATTATCTGATTCTGAAATAATCCATATCTCCATGTAGTACAGTCTAGAGTAAAAGTCCCTGTGTATTTGTATTTGTGTGCATTTGTTTGTATTTGTTTGTATGTGTGTGTATTTGTCTGCAGGTTTCTTAGATTCTTTTGAGGAGACCAGGCAACGAGAGGAGGACAAACAGATTCAGATCCAAGAAAGCATCAAGTCTCTGTTGGAGCAGTGCAGCCGGGTGGGTACAGAGACTCTATCACATACTATCACATACTATCACATACTATCATATACTATCACATACTATCACATACTATCACATACTATCATATACTATCATATACTATCACATACTATCACATACTATCACATACTATCACATACTATCACATACTATCACATACTACTTACCACTACTACTACTAGGGCTGTTTATCATTAAGGAAGTTGCCGATACGATACATACCTCGATACACAGGCCACGATACGATACATATCTCGATACAGTGCACTTTCGATTCGATATGATATATTTCAAATTGACTCGATACTGTTCAATAAAAAATAAAGACTAAATCATGGCTGTGATACTAAAGTGTTTGTTAAACCACTTCTTGTGCAAAGTTCATATGAAACACAAACATTTTAATCATCAAAACAGTAAAAATATCAAATGTGTTGCATAAATGAGTTTCCTTTCACTCCACAAGCAACAAAACTGTAGCTCTGTAACAAAATAATTGAGTAAAACACACCTAAAAATACTCTTGGTACAGTAGCCCACGATATCGATACTGTATCATCACATTAAACGATACCATATATCGATATTCCAATATTTTTGCACACCCCTAACTACTACTAGAGATTTTGAAAGTCTGTGTTGGAATGTGTTATATATTCACAATACTACAATTTCAAACTCGATTTCAAGGAATACACAGCACACTCAATACCAATTCCGATATCACAATGATAATACAACACGTTCTTAAGAATTTAACAGAATGTAATTTTCAATATTAAATGGTAGTACTTTCATTTCTATCCCATGTCGCCTTAAACACTACAGATCAAAAGTTTTAAAATCCCATAGCTTTTCCAGTTATTTGCTGAAAATGATTCAGTTTATTGTGTTATTGCACTCTGACATGGAAGCATAGAACAAATAAACAATTTGAATTAAAAAAGAAATCATGGAATCAGTTTATAGACCAAAACGTATTTTAAACTTTTGATTGATGAAAGTGTGCATCTTTGGCAGATAGAACAGCTGAACACACTCGTGACTCGTTCTTGTTACAACAGAAATCAAATATTGTTCAGAAAGTTCTTCCCAAGTCTGTTACAGAAGTTTCCATAAATGTGTGGCACTTGTAGGTTGCTTCACTCTTCTGTCCAGTTCATCCAAACCAGCTCCATGGAGTTTAAGTCTGGACACTGTGCTGCTGCTGGACACTCCAGGTTTTCAAGCTTTACCATCTTGTTCTTTTTTCCTGAGGTCGTTTTGGCAGAACTTGGACTTGTGCTTTGTTCTTTTAATTTTTTTTTTTTAACCTTTGTCTGTTCAGTGTTTTCCTTTGTACCATTTCAAGCTCTTCAATGGACTTGCACTACTTGAATTCCAATAAATAACTGGAAAAATGAGGGTGTTTTAAAACTTTTGACTGGTCGTGTATGGGCCAGATAGGTTCTATAGTGGTCCATGTGTGTATAGTAGTCTAGTCTATGTGCTCTTATACTTGTTTTGATACAGCTCAACATCATTGTGAAGCAATTTAGGAAAGAGACATTTCTGTCCTCTCAATGTGACTTTACCAGCTTAAATCAGGATCTAGTTTCGATGCTATTTTCAGTGTTCATTAGTATCAGATTTTTTATACTTTTGACAACCTTATATACACAAACAATGTTTCAAAAATACCTTCAAAAAGATGTCACTCAGAATACCAGAGTAATGGTGTGTTGTGTTGCAGTGCCAGTTGCGTCTGCACCACGTGGACACTATCACAGCCAACGAGCTCCGGAACATGCAGGAAGTCCTGGTATCCAAGGAGACCGAGGTCAACCAATCAGAGAGCACCGCCAAGAACCTCACCACCGGTCAGTCAAACGCCGTCAGTGTCATTCTTTATGAAACGTACAGGTCTCTCCTTACAGCTGGTCTCTAGGATAAATTTAAGGGTGCGCAATCTAACTTTTCCACCTACTGTTTGCCCTTATGGTGATGTTATTGATTTGCTTGGAATGTTCCGCAGTGTAACATTAAACTTAGGTCGATATTGTGGAGGCATTCCAGACAAAGCAATGACATCGCCATACAGAGCAGCAGGTGACAGAAGAGTGATGTAGAATGACTGTAATTACTTCATAACTTCTTACGTATTTCTATGTATATTATCATTTGCTGGCCTGTTACCAGAATACTAACTGCACCCTTTAAATTCCAAACCTTAGTTCACGCTTCACTCACGCTTCACAGTAAGAAGGTTCTTTGTCTGGGTGGGTTTCCTCAGTTTCTCCCATCAGCCCAAATCATGTTTGGCTCATTTCTTGAAACAGAAATGACATTCTTGGCCAAACAGTTCTGTACAACCTTACAGCTCACTAGCAAAAGCTCATACAGTATCTCTCCCAAAACTGTTCACACAGACTTCAAACCTCCCTTTGGTATTGTGTAAGCACTGCGAGTCAGAATGTCTACATGTTTTGTCACTATGGCAGAGGTCTAGCAAACAGAATACAATTATGGATAAAAGTTAACAAAAAGGATTTCACAGTAAGAGCAGTCTCCAAAGTTTGACATCACACACTCTGCCCTCACACTGTCAACGAAACTCTAAACATTTTTATTCACACACATAAAGTAACGTTCACATCTCTGCGGATATTTTCCCTGTGATGTAGCAAGGCAAGAAATGGCATAAATGTGTCAACCATCCCCTCCACTGATCCCCTGTGATGTCCTCGCACGCAGCGTCCAGTGGAGCAGGAACCTCTGAGCCCGATGTTCATACACTCTCCACCTCTAAGCGGAAAAAAAGAAAAAGAAAGAAATTCATATATCATGTTCATGCTATTATGTTCTTGACTCATTTTAACACTGGAACAGACTATTGTGCAGATGATGACTCAGACAATGAAATGATGCTGACATGTTCTGGAGAGAACAACTATTAGACTGAGAATCAACTCATCAGTTTAGATTAGCAAGATCTAAAATGTGGAAAATGTGCTAAACGTGGACTCATTGTGTTAACTGTAGGGACTTGTACAGAACCATTTGCAAAGATGCACTGAGACACACAAGACACACAAGGTGTAAGGTGGTTTGGGCATGTGTCCACATTATTTTAAGAATTTCATTGCTGTTTCAAGAAATGAGCCAAACCAATGGTGAAAAACTGTAAGGTAGTCCTGACTAAGACTAGCTCAAGATCTAGAGTCCCTCTGGTTCCTCTGCTCCTGACAGCTTTAACCCAGAGACACTGGTTGTAGCATGGGTCAAATGCAGAGGATGAATGATCTTCACGAATGATCAATAAAATATATCTTAACGTCAATGTGCGCTCCTAATGCCTGGGCTTCTGATGTTTATGTGTTTAGAGTCCAGGCGTCTGCAGCAGGACCTGGAGAAGGTGCAGCAGCTGGAGGGGAAGATCAGCTCGGAGCTGGAGGTGCAGAGACAGCAGCTGGTCACCATGGAGACGGAGCTGAAGACATACAGGGACATAGACAGTCTGAAGAGGAGCGCCGAGGACAAGAAGAAAGTACGCTGACATGCACGACTTAAACTGACTGTTCTCATTTAGGTCGGTCCAAGCTCTGACTAGTGCACGCTGCTGTTGTGCTCTTTGGCAAGACACTTCAATGACTGCGAGTGATTGGTGATGATTAGTCTAACTCAAGGCAGGTATAGCAACAATAGGTACCAGCAAGTGTGGAGAGGTGAAGTAGTATGAGTGGTAATTAATTAAAGGCACTCTACCTGATTTTGTCTTAAAAAAATTGAAATACAGAACTAGTTTAGTTTAAAGAGTTTGCAGTTTGCAGTGGTCCAAAGTTAACGCTCACTTCTGCATTCTGAACATCCTAATTGTTCACCAAGATGAGTTTATAACCACTGTTCAAAACTTTCAGAGCGTAGTTTAGCCTTCATGGCCTATTAGTGTACATATATTATATTACAACACTACCTTTTTTTTCTTTATATTTACTACTTTCAACATTTTAGATGCATACAGAAGACATCAAATATAAATATAATATGAAGCAAGATATGGAATCATGTAGTAAAGGAAAGTTTTTTAAAATCCACTAAATATTTTTTGACAAAGCTAAGCATCCTACTTCATATAGGCGAGTTTCAGCTGACGTCATTGTTATTAAAAGCCCGCGTTGCATGCTGGGAAATATTTTGGTCGGAGGCAAGAAACAGGATAGCGGTCAAACACAGTGTGTAACCTCGTGTATTTATCCCCGATAATGGTAAATTCCTGCTGCATTATCGGATGCACAAATAGAAGCACGGAAGAAGGAAAATGTCTTTTTTGTAATTTCAGTGAAAAGAACCACTAACGGTGAATTAAATGACTTTCAAACATTCACAGAGCAAACGTAGAAGATCCTAACAAACCGTGGACTCCAACAAGTTCAACAACACATCGAGACTCTTGGAGGTTTTCATCTTTTCTGCTGTGAATGGCCCAGGAGTTTCCACCAAGTCATTGTGGATATCGCCAAAGTGAATATTTGTCCAGGTAGTTGGAGATTCTGACCAGAAATTTGGTTTGGTCCAGACTCCGTCGGGGTTGAAAAGGGTGATTTGGCTCCATCGATGCTTATGACCAATTTCTGGTCAAATGGTCTTGGGTCCTCTGCCGTTAGAGTGGATAAATAACCGGGATCAATACCCTTTACGTGCTTTCTCGCTCTGTCCATCATGTTGAATTAGTGTTTCTTGCCGCCGACCAAAATAATTCCCAGCATGCAACGCACGCTTTTGTCAACAATGAAACTCACTTATATCTGACGTCTTCTGTAGGTATATAAAATGTAGCAAGTGGTAAACATAAAGAAAAAAAAAAAAACAGGGTGTGTCCAAAGTTGTGAGTGGTAGTATAGATATATAATAAAATACATCATATTTTGTCCTGACTTTGCATTTGGAAATAAAAAAAAGTTTGATTAAAACCTGGCTTAGCATATAAATCAACACTAACCCTTCCCCAGTAGATGGCGCCCTCACCCTCCATGTATGTGTACCTGTGGTGTTGTTGCAGAAGCTGGAGGAGCAGCGTGTGTGTCTGAGCCAGAGGCAGGAGTCCTTCAGACAGCTGCTGGACCACATCACACACACGTATGAAGCTCTGAAGACCAAACTGGAGGAGAACGAGACGCACGCTCAGGTCTGGAGACAGAACGCACGACTGTTGAAGTTACACCGCACGACTGTTGAAGTTACACCGCACGACTGTTGAAGTTACACCGCACGACTGTTGAAGTTACACCAACATGGACGAGATCTCATACTTACTGAATGCATTTGCTTTTTAGACACTCACTTGGTTTCTATGAAGATACAAAGGTTTAATACCACACTGTGAAATATTCCAGACAAAGTAATAACATCTCCATGGAGAAAAGCGTCTGACAGACCCTCCTCCAGAAACGTTACACAATGCACCTGTTGGGACATAAGTTCTGATTTATAATTTGAAGTTAATGTAATTTGACAGACAAAGCAATAAATATGGCACAAAATCTGGTATTTATAAGGACAGACATAAACATGAGACAAACCACATGTGAAGGAGCTGCAAGAAACACAAATGTTCAAATTATTTCAGACTGTCACATAAAGCCTTTGTCACTTTAGACTCACTCACGGTGGGAAGAGGAACAACAAGTCCAACACGAGTACTGTTATTTCTATAAAAATATTACCCTATTTTCCGGGCTATTGCGCTGTTAAGCCTCCAACCCCTTCAAAAAACAACTGCGCGCCCCACAATCCAGAGCGCCCTATACATGAATCCACTCAGGTGTCCCAGCACGACTTCAGTAAACTACAAAGCCGCACCACCCACAGAACACACAAACACACACGGAGCAGACAGCGACCGCACAGAGAAACACACCCACAGACACACTCATCACTCCACGCCGACGAGGAACGGAACGGAGGAACGAACCGAAAAATGTGCCACTTCTAGACACAACTGAACAACTGAGTCACTGTGAACACGCCGACAATCCGTTGGTCCCAGACACACCCTCCCTACACGCCACAACTGAACAAAGCCCAGAGTCACCGTGAAACACCAAACAAACAAAACCACTCACCCATCACACTGTTGGGTTTCCTTTAAAGTCCGGTGTGGTTTATTTGTGAAAAAAGTTCGAAAATAGACCATTTAATGACAGTGCGTTTTATAATCCAGAGCAACTAATAGTGTGGAAAATACGGTACTCAAATAAGAACACAAGTATGCCTCTAGAAAAGTACTATTTCTTTAGATAATAGTTACACAACTGAATGTATTTGAGTTCTACCCACCTCTCAACATGATATATGGATCATGGGTTCTGTATCTGATTCTATTCTCCATTACATTTAAAGAGTTAGTTTTCATTTTTTCTGACAACTTACATTATTCCCTGTGTCTTTCAGCTGACCAACCTGGAGAAGAAATGGCAGCACATAGAGCAGAACAACTTTGTCATGAAAGAGTGTATCCTTCCTGAATGTTCTTTATGGTGTATTTTCTAAGTACTGTCCACCATTTTGAAAGTACTGATACTTTGCAGCTGTTTTCCCCGGGGGTGTGAGGCTAATGTAGGCACTGCTCCGTCTGAAGCTCGTCTAGTTCGACTTTAATCTCATCTTCGTTTTAAAACAGTCTGACCAGAAAGAACTGCCTTAATATTTAATGCTAATGTGTGCCATAAACATACCCCCAGCATGATGTCACTGCAAAGTATCAGTTAGTCGTCCTCTGTCCGTCAGTGTGCTCCTTAACCCTTCGTGCTCCAGTCATCGCGTCCAAGTCCCAGGAGAGTGACTACGCCCCGGTGGCCCAGCGCGTCAGCCAGCAGGTGGCAGAGTACAACAAGATGCTCATCGACTCACTGCAAAACAACAGAAGTCTCATATGAACTGTCCACTAATGCTTTTGGTACAACAGATTTAGTTTGTAAGTAGTAGTTAGTAAAATATTAAAGTGCATGAGACAGGTGAGACTACCCATTTCTCTAAAACAGGGTGTCAAACATCCGGCCCTCCAAGACCTTTAATCTGGCTGATTTTCTACTAAAATATTTGAATTATATTTTCTATTAAAATCTTGTTAATTTTGTGTGGTGTTTATCACAGCAGCGTCTCCAGTGTCTCTGTACGTGGCCCCTCCCACCAGAGCAGCACAAATGAAGACTTGTCTCTTTCCAAACGCTCTTAAAGGACGATCGTTTTGACTGTTGACCGTGACACCCTCATCAGAAAAATGTCCAACATGAGAAAAGTGGAGCCGAGTGCAGGATTTTCCCAGAATAATGGACTTATTCCTGTTTACATCTAAGTTCATATTAAAACATTGTGTTGAAATGGCAATTTTCTTAAAGTTTCAGGTTGTTCATAATATTATAATAAAAAAGAAAGAATTCATCAATTAAAAAAGATTTCTGTAATATATTTGTGTTTCTCTGCACAAATATTTCAACTTATTGTTATTTTTGGAGTTTATATGCCATGAGTTTTCTGATCCGGCCCCTTTGGGATCAAAGTCGGTTGGATCCGGCCCCTGAACCAAAATGAGTTTGACCCCCCTGCTCTAAAACATACTTAACAGTCCGATATTACACTGAATGGACTCCTGTGAGCTTTAAGCCATGTTCTAGTGAAGTGTCCCCGTCAAAAACAACCCCATAGTTGTGTTTTGTTTGATTTATACACATTTGAGTAACGCTTTATTTATTATCAGTGCATCTACAACTCCAAAACTCAAAATGCTCTGTTCCACCTTGTGATGTCATAGTGGTAGTTTTTCAATTAACAGCTCCTTTAACCTTTAGTTCAGCAAAGTCTGGAAATTCCAAGGATGAAATAATCCTAATATGTCTAGTGAAGTTGTATGGAGTTTAAAAACTTGCACAACATGACATCACAAGGTGGAACAGAATGTTTTCTGTCAAACATGTGAAAGAAACAAAACACAACTTCCGGTCTGTTTGTGATGAGGAAACAACATTATAACATGGATCAGAAACTAGTGTAATATGAGCCCTTTAAATCACTGGATTCTGAGTAATGTTAAAGGGTGAAGTTCTTATTTGGACTTGTGGTTGGACACGAGCAGCAGATATGACACAGGTAGAGGTGTGTTGTCTAGCAACCATAATGTAACGACGGACAATTATTACTATTTTGTCAAAACAATGTTTAAACTGTCAGAAAAATAGTGTTCCATGTGCATAAATTGTCTCTGCATTTTGGATGAAATTGACAGTTGATGACACAGCCAGAGGGATTTTGTTTTAGAACTCTGCTACTTCTTGCATTTTACAAATATTTTCTACACTATCTCACAAACTCAATAATAAGAAAAATATATGTATTTGTCAAATGCACTTTAAGCCTGTGTGATTGTACTTTGTATCAATAATAAAGCTTTAATAGTTCA